GTTATTTTATTTTTACCTACGTGACTTCACCGAATAGAACCAAAGAGAATGGAGAACTTCTAGAAACTCTCTGCAGTGCAACCTGAACTTATCCGCCACCACGCAGAGTAGGAGCGCTGCTCTCTTCTGCACCATTGACTTTAAACAGTACCAAGTGCATCAGACACATCTCTGGGATGAGCTACGTACAGTGTGCAAGGTTTTGCAGACGACAACCTCGCAAGAGCGGTGCGAGACGCAACGCGTCGGGAGGAATTTACTTAAAACGTGACTTAATGATATTAATAAATATTACACACGTACATACAAATTAGTCGTAATTTATTTTCATTTTATACTGTACGTTGAAATATTGTTAACGGACTAAAACACACTAATAAATATTACACACGTACATACAAATTAGTCGTAATTTTTTTTTATACTGTATACTGTACGTTGAAATAATGTTAACGGACTAAAACACATTAATAAATATTACACACATACCTACAAATTAGTCGTAATTTATTTAAAATTCCACGCATTGCAATTTCGAAAATGTCTTAAGTCACGAAAAGCCACAAAGGCCCTAGAGGAAGTCTTGCAGCCTGAGATAAAGTGTAAAGAGGGACCCCCAGGGCCCTCGGTGGCAGCAGCCGCCCTCGGCGCGCGCCCATCGCCCGTGGCACCGCCTCGGGCTCAGCCGAAAGCGGTCGTACTCCAATACACGCATTTGTACGGCAATTCCCACGAAGAGAAACGCAATGTTTGTCAAATTTCACACAAAACTTCAAATTTAGCAATCTTTGGAGATCGTAATCAACCAGGCTATGCGTTAACTGTGTGTTAGCCGACTCTCTGTGTTGCATTGCATTACATTTCCAAGAAATTTGCTAAATTTTGTTTTCTCAAACTGCCTATTTCTCTCTCTAAAATTTACCAGGCTCTAATAGGTTCACGAGTTGCCTCTCCCGAGCACAAACAAGTTACGTCACGGGAAGGGGGCGAGGGGGGGTACGGGAATGGGGGGGGGCTTTTTCTTTGCCCCTGGGCGATTCCGCCGCTGTGTAAACTCCGTTGAGTAATGTGCGGCGGTGTAAATTTTTTTGCCAAAGTTGGACCGTGACGCCGCCATACAGTGGTCTACTCTAGCTACGTACGGTGGGAAAGAAGTTCAACATAATACTTTTCTCAAGCAGACGGAGCGGTTATATATTTAACCTTTAATACACCCGCAGTGGTAACCAGGGCGCCCTACCGGGTTTGAACCGCGAAACCCTACAACAACGCGCTGGGCCTCGTCCCCCGCCTTTGTGGTAATTCGTGCTCTGATACTCAGTAACACCACAACCACCACCACCACCACTATCAACCACCACCACCACGTCCCGTGCGCTCACCTCGTGTCTCCCCCCCGGGATGCGCTCTCACCGTGGCAGCGCGTGTCCGTGCGTGCACGCGCTGCCAACAGCATTCCATAATGTAACTTAAAACAATAAGTGAGTTTACCGAGAAGTAACACTTCCAAATTGTTCAAGGGTTTGTCTGTTACGCGATAGCTCCGACGTATCATGCAACTATCCTTACGTCAACTAAAAAAAACTGTTTTCAGGAAACATTTATAAATGTCATTCTCATCGGGCCCCATGATGTAAACAAGCGCAGTGTCCAACCCTTATCATCCACTCTGCCTCTCCACGGGCCTCTCTGTGCTATGAAGACGGCCCATTGCCCGAAACATCGCCGATTACATACATTTCCTTTTAAGGCCACACACACAGCGTTAGTGACGAGTGTGTTGATCGTGTGTGCGACGCTTAGAGCAGCAGCGCTTCGTTCACCGGCAGTCCGAGTCCCAATTTTTGGCCACAGCTGCCGTCAGCGATCACTTTCTACCCGAAAGTGTCTCTCCCCTTGGTTGCGCTCAGCCTTAGTTTTAGTGCATGGATGTGACTTTTGAGTCGCCGGTGAGTGCGCTCCGCATGCGGTGACTTCCCCCTTGCGTCGGAGTGCCCGGGCGAAGCGCAGCTGTTTCCTCCTCTCCTTGTGGCTTGCACGCCCCGCTTCGAAGGGTGGGGGGCGGTGTGGGAGAGAGGGGAGCGGGGGGACTTGGCAGAGGGTGGATGATGCTCGCTCCTTTTAGGGGAGGCAGGACTACCCATGTCTCGCAAGTGCTACCATAGAACTTGAGTCAACGTTTATAAACAGCTGTTGACTTACAAGCCCGAGTAGCCGCAGGCCGGTGGTCATTAAGGCTCAGCAGATGTTGCGCTGTTACTCGCCGCCGACGCCGCCGCCGCCAACCTTCCCGTGGCTGCGTTAATTTTAGCGGCACACGCTAAACCACGCAGTGTGCGACGGCGCATGGCGATATCGCGTGGCAATTGGGCCAGGGGGTGAGCGAGCCAGGGGGTGAGCGAGCCAGGGGGTGAGCGAGCCAGGGGGTGAGCGAGCCAGGGGGTGAGCGAGCCAGGGGGTGAGCGAGCCAGGGGGTGAGGAGGCGCGCTCAGAGTCCCGTCACCATGGCTGCTCGAATGGCTGCCTACTACTGCAGCCAGCTGTGGAGCGCCCTGCAAGGCTGGGTGGTGAGTGGCACCAGATGAGTCGTGCTCGTCTGAGCTCAGAGTGAGCGTGGAGACTACTGCGATACGTGTGAACACTGTGTGTACACTCGTCTGTGTTTGTCCACTTGTGTTTATGTGTGCGTGTGTACACTAGTCTTTGTGTGCACTAGTCTGTGTGTACACTAATCTTTATGTTGTACACTAGTCTATATGTTTACACTAGTCTGTGTGTACACTAGCCTGTACGTGTGTGTACACTAGTCTGCATGTGTGCACGCGTAGTGAATGTAGCGGTTAGCGAGCTGCGCTTCGAACCCGGCGACATACAAGTTCGATTCCCGCTCACGGCCAACAGCAGTGACTATTAATATGAACAACCATTAACGGCCTTCGGCTAGGAAAGTCACAAAAAAATTGCGCACGAACGACGCATTCACGCAAGCACCCGATGCTCCATTTTGAAGTTTAAAAATGAATCATCTTTGAATTCTATTATGTTTTGAATTAATTTTATTTCTTCATTAAAAGCTTAGAAATTTTACATCTGTAAGACGACATTTCGTGTGAATTTTCTCTCGTCGTAAAGTCGATGGCCTTGCTGGAGGTTCGGTTCGATGCGGACTTTCACCTGTTTGGGATTGCGGATCGAGATAAGGCGACATAGAGCTGGCCGTGTGAGAAGACTGCGTCTGCAGATCGATTCCAACATAATCGAACGTCTGTCCCTGCGCCTCCGTCGTTCATGCAGGGGGTGCGTAGGTTTGCAGCGCCCCCTGCATGAAAACGACGGAAAGTGCAGCGTTCATCACAGATAGATAAAGTTGTGCGCTTATATAAGAGTGTTCTGGGCCTTCCCTAGGTCAACTCAACTTGGTGTGCTGTGTAAACTTCACCACCAGGGAGACAGGCGGCCGGGCGTGGTGCTGCCCCCTCACCCCTCGTGTGCCGTACCGGCCTTCATAGGTGCTCGCTAACAGCACTTGACCAACAGTTTGTTAAAGGCTATACGGGGGATCTTTGTCGTTTTTGTGTGTATACTGAGTGCATTCTAGTGTGTGTGTGTGAACACTATTGAGTGTGTACAAAGCTCCAGGTCTTCCCTGCCACAGTTATGCCCTTTACATTCTCTACGCTTGCCAAACGCAGTGCGCGGAGCCCTCTAAAGGAACATCTCTGCCGGTTTGAAACATTCAGGCTGGCCTGCCTACGATCCATCTTCGGTTTAACCAGACTGGATTGTATTAGGTGCTCACAGATTCTTGAAAGGTCTGGACAAAGGCCCATCAGTGAGCTCCTCCGGCAAGCGAGGCTGCGCTGCCTGGGTCATGTCGCCCCCATGCCTAGCCACCATATGCCCAAGCAGTTTCTGTTTGGCCGGATAGATGGGGCTAGAGAAGAGATGGACTGATGTGGTACAGAAGGATGTGGAGCTGATTGGATTTGCTGATGACTGGTACCAACAGCTCCAAGATCGGCCTCTTTGGAGGAAGTTCGTGAAGGGCGCGACTGGGAAGTTGGAGGCAGTCACCTTCCGGCAAACAACGGAGGGCAGTGGAGCGATGCTCACAACGAGCAGAGCGCCGGACAGCTAGAACGCAGAAAATTTTCACAGTGGGAAGTACAGTTGGTGCATCTGCCAGTCATCTCAGTTAGTCAACTCATGGCACCTGGGTTTTCGCACCTCCGATTTGCACGGTTGGCTACGTACTGTACGAAAGAAGTGCAGCATACATACACACCTGGGTGTGTTCTATGACCTGCTGCCAATGGGCCTTTGACACTTCACAGGGCCTAAGTACACCTAGCATGTCACAAGCGCCGTGGTGACGTCACCGCCACTTCGTGGTGAACAAAAGTGTGTACACTGAGTACTCTGTGTGTGAACACCAGCGTGTGTATGAACACGAGTGAATGTGTGTGAGAGCATGAGTGTGTAAGTGGGGAGCGGTGGCGCAGCGGGTAGCACGCTGGGCTACGAACCGGCTCACGGCCAACACCAGTGATGGTCATGGGCCTCCCCCTAGATCGACTCGGCCTCAAATGAGTACCTAGTGCGGTGTGTAAACATCATTGGGGAGACAAAGGCGGTCAGGCGTGGTGCCACTCAACCCCGTCGTATGCTGTGCCGGCCTTCATAGGTGTTTGCCAAAATCACTTTCCCCAACAGTCTGTTAAGGCTACACGGGGGATCTGTGTTGTCTTTGTGTGAGTGAGCACGAGTGCGTGTTGTGTGTAAAGTCAATGGCAGAAATTCCCCATTCCCATGGTGGAACCAGTCTGTCCGGAGTGGCGATGTCTCGTGAAGTCAGAGCCAAAGAGGGCTTCTAACTCGCAGCTTCACAGCACCCCCACCCTCACACCACCACGATCACCACGGGTCTTGACAGAGTGTCCTCATGTGCTGCTTCTAACCCGTGTGGTATTGCCATCACGCGGGTGTTGTCGCTGCTGTAGAGATACCTCGTGAGGCCAGCAGCGGACGATTTGGAGCCTCTCGCGGACTCATCTGAAGACGTGAACAAGTATGGGAGTCACAACAGGTACAGCTTGGGCCACAAGGGCACCTTCGTGTTCACACATTGTCTCCCCGTGGTGAGGGAACATCCATAAGGCCTCTCCACTGTATATTCTATTAATCATCATCAGCCATGGTCAGTCTACTTTTGGATTGAGGCCTCGACCATGGCTGTATTGACCGTACAAATTTGTTCTGTCCACTTCACAGTGGACGTTAAAGATCCCGTGATGTCTTTCGTAAGAATAGGCCATCGTGTGCGGTGTCAGGATCCAAATTTACCAGATTTGAAAAAATTATCTAACAATTACTCATTTAGAAATAGCACCACTGCTCACGTCTGTAAAAAAAAGCCACTGCAGATGATGTAAAAGATAGTGGCTTGATGATAATCTCACGATGTAAGAATGTTAGTGCAAATACTAAATGTATGAAACTTATTAATATGATGCTGAGCTTGATAACCCATTCAATAGCTTCAGGAGTTCCTTAATGTACCACGTCCGTACTTCCTGTGCAAGCGTATAATAGCACACAGGAAGTACACGGTACACTCGTACACTGCATCATACACCGATACGATAAACTCCATGACTACACACCACACTAATCCCGTACTGCACCACATGACTACACCGAGAGTGGAAGCACTGTCTGATGAGCAGATCGCATTCCCCACGTTCACCACAGGGCCACCCTTCCGCTTGACGCCATTCGTGTCGGAGACGGCCGCACTTGTGCATTGCCGGAACACGATTGCGCGCGAGCTGACGCCGGGTAAAATGAAATGTCATTCCGTGCGGTGTACTTCACCATGTCCACGGCAATCGTTGTCATCCAGAACCGAAGCGGCTATGGAGCGCGAGCCGCAGATGTCGGCTCGTGAGGGCAAGGGCGGCGGGAACTCGGAGGTCGAGACGGTGGTGGGCGCAGGCGGCCATTCTGACCTCGACCGCAAATCCCCGGCGAGGACTCTCGAGGGGACGCCGCCGTTTGCTACGGTGGACGACGCCGCCGCCGCGGCTACGTCCAGGAGATCCGTTGGAGGCGAGAGAGACGACGCCGCGGGGCTCCGGCGAGGTTCCCCCATGTTCACGGCAAACGCGGGGGACGCAAATGTGTTCCAGCGTCATGCACCAAGCGAGGAGGCCCAACAGCGTCTGATGGAAAAGGACGGCTGCTTTGGCGATGCCATCGGTCACACCGCCACCACTACGGACCGTGCCTTGCATTCAGTGCCTGTAGAAAGGATGAGGGCCGAAACGTCAGTCACCGACGGTCACAACACATCAGCGCTGACGTTACATCCGCCACCTGCATCCCAATCGTCATGCGCCATATCGCCTCTGCTGCCACCATTCTTAGCATCTCCAGAGGCGCGGAGCTTTCAGCCGAGCTTCGCTCCGTCGTCGTTAAACTCGGCACCGCCATCTCCTTCAACTACCTCACCGCGCTGGGCCAATGAGTGCACAGCAGGCGGCCGGGAGCACGAAGGCGATCAGGAATTCGCCGGCGTTGCTGACAAAGATGATTTTGAAAATCATTTTTATGTTGAGGTAATTGTTACATTGTTCAAGCGGGGTTCATTTTGGGAAGGAGGACATGACATCTGCTTGGTTATTGTCTGATAATTTACGTTGTTACATTCTGCAAGAAGACGCTTAATATTATGCATCTTGAAAATATGTAGTGGTACCCCGGAGATCGAACTTAATTCGTTCCAGAAGGCCATTCAAACACCGATTTGTTCGAACACCGAATACATTTTCCCCATAAGAATTAATGTAAATTACATTAATTGGTTCCAGACACAAGAAATCTCTCATTATAAAGCATTTTTTACACGAACTTTACAGTAATTACATGCATAAAATCATAAAAAAAACAAGAAACACAAATAATTGGAATAAATGAAATAAATAAGCATTGAACTTCACTTTACCTGTAGTAAGGAGAGTTGATGGCTTGAGTGGAAGATGGTGAGGAGGAGGAGGTGGTGGTGGTGTTATTGTTTGGAAGGGGAGTCCCTTATCATAATAACGTCGGGTAACTGCCCTTCTGGGGTTCTTTTTCTTTTGTGCCTCTTTTCTGCCACTAACTGAATCACTTGAGCTCTTTCTGACTAAAAATGTATCTAGAGGTTTGTTTCTGCCTCCGTCTTAGGATGTTTCGAAAATGACACATTGCATTAACATTAAAAAGATTGCTCACTCGGTTGGCTACTGCCTTATCTGGGTGATATTTTTTCTATAAAATTCTGTAACTCAATCCATTTTGCACACATTTCTTTTATCACTGAACTAGGGGCATCATCCCTTCCCTCCTCCTCCTCCTCTGAAGACATTTCCTCTCATACGGTAAAACCTTTGTCTGGGCAAGCGTCATGCACACTGGCCATACGCGTCTCAGCCATACGGGTTCTTTCAAGTCGCGGTTGCCCGTTCGACCTCCGAATTTCGTTAAGTTTCCGGGGCAAAATTTTTTCGGAAATATCGTTCGAACACTGATTTGTTCGAGTTCTGGTGCGTTCGATCTCCGAGGTTCTACTGTATTTGCATGTTGGCAAAAGTAAATGTTACTGTGTTTGGTAATGTGAGCATTGAAAATCTGGCGCTGGCTATGTAGTATGTACCGTAAACTTATTAACGTCTCTGTTTACGAGTCAAGAGTGATGGACTTTAAGAAAGCAACGAGTAAATAAGCTTCTGGTCTTTGAGCAATATAGCGTCAGAATGTTTAAAGTTCACAATGGAGGGTTGTAGTGAAGCGTGGTAATTTAACCAGGAAGCTGCGTTGTGCGGGAGGCCGTGGGCAGGATGAAGGGGGTGGCACCGCAACGTGCGGTGGAGTGGCCTTGGAGGTCAACGACCACGGAGAACATCTGAAGGCGGACGGTGACAATAATCCAATCCAATCATTAGTGCATTGGGCATTCACGCCATTCTCATAGCATAAGGCAGTCACGAAGGCGCTGTGCGTCACAAAGAGTCCGCAGTAGTATCACAGGAGCGGGCAATGTTGATATCTGTTAGGGCGCTGCGGTGGCGAAATGTTAACTACCTAACCTGGTATACAGGAGGTTGTGGGTTTGATCCCGATCCTGACACCTGTATATTTGGAGTTTGCATGTCTCTCTCCCGGTGGTCGGGTAGATTTTTTCTCCGGATCCTCTGTTTTTTCTATCTATATTTAGAATCAACATACGTTTAGAGTATTTGGCTGCTATAAATTTCCATGTAATAAGCAACTTCGTTGAGCTGTGATGTGGCCAGGTCGCTTCTGAGAAAGAGCTACATAGCTCAATGGGCATTTCCTGGTAGAGTAAAAACACTTTAGTTATCCCAATGGATACATTTACAATTTGAAATGTGACGCCACACACAAGGGCCGACTCTTATCGAATGGCGTCATTGGGATCTTTAACAGCGTATATGTCATGGTTAAAGCACCAGGAATATAAATACGACTGCAGTATTAAACCAGGGCGTCCTGCTGGATTCGTATCACAAACCTCTGCAACAAGCGGAGAACGCACTCTCGCTGTGCCACGTCACCGCCCCGATGAGACTAAGACCGGGACTTTGAGGTCAGGTGTCAACTGTATGTAAGATAGTATATCATGTCCATTGCTCCTGTATCTGTTTGTGTACATTGTGGTATACGCGCTTGAGTGATGATTGCTGGGCATCGGATGCAATGTCTTGTCTCTTGATCTCTCCCAAGTGTTCGTCACCCCCATTGGATTTCACGATCCAAAAGCAGCGAGCCTCACTCAGCAAGTTAGGAGCACTGGGCAATCGCAAACCGGGGAAACCGCGGCCAGCAGACACGGACTCGGAGTGGATGTACAGAGACAGCACCGGTGCGCTCATACACACATGGGCCACGCCGGACTAGCGCCCCTTTCCAATTTTCCCGGTTTGCGTGGAAAACCAAAGGCGCATTGCAAGCGCAGCAGAGGGTATTGGCGATATAATGTTGACGTACATTGTATGCTGTGATATCAATGACGGGAATTCCGCAAAATCCTCTTCACTGGTGACATGGACAGCTACGAACACGTTAACAAGTTTGTAGCAATCTTACTACCAGAGGGAAAGAAAGTGCGAGGCACCGAATCGTAACACATTCTGTCTTAATGTATACTGCAAACTCAGCATGTAGGGTAGAAAAGAGAATCGTGTGGACAATTCTGTATAAAGTACAACCTTGCTTTTCATCATATTGCTGTGGAGAGAATGTACTCATTCATGCCAGATTATTGAGTTATGCCACAATAATATGACCTTCAACACCCGACATAACCAAACAAATTAAATTATAACGTGTATAAGTATTATTGCTTCAACTCAAGAACAACATTCACAACCGAATTTTGCAATTGTTTACGATGCTTCACTTGAAACATATGCCAAGCATTTTCAGAACAAAATCCAAGAAGTGGGAATAAATTTCACAAAGTCAGAATGGCCTAACCCAAAAATCTATATAAACCATATTGGCTGCAATAATCTACGTGTTAAGTCAATATACAGTGTTACCATTAAGTATCAACGGACCTTCCACTGGTATTTATGAAGATACATTGGGCCCAATGATCAATGGCCAGTTGCATTCTTGTGAATGTAAATGCAGAGGCTGCCCTTATTATTTTGCAGATTCTCCAAGTGCCGAGTTGCCCAAAGAGGAGCCACCCACTCAGAAGAGAGGTCCGCCAGGTGGCTTCAGGCTGCCTGCTCTGGGACCCTCCTTGCCTGGCGTGCAGGTAATCTACCTGTGCCATGAGTAGCTACACCTCGTTAAAGTTTGTACACAACAGGGAACCCATGGCAACAGGGGGCCATGCACTGTACCACAATCACGGCCACCTAGATTCGATTCTTGGTCATGCACATCACATTACACTGTCCTGGGCCTCCACTAGGCAGAGATGGGCAGTATACAGTGTCCGAAAATTAAAGTTTAATAGTTGTATTGTTATTAGAGATACTGACATAAATCTGATATGAATATATGCATTAGACTATTTGGTTCTTTCGGTAAAGTCACGTAGAAAGAAAATTAATTAAGTAATAGAATATGACGTTTCGATTGCAATACAAGCAGTCATCAGGTAGAACGAAATTTGAGAGAGAGACAAAAACACAGACACGGAGACACACAGACAGACACACAAGCAGAGAGAGACAACACAGATACACACGGAGAGACGCACAACATTGACACACAGACCCAATGCCTCTGTGTCGTGGCCTTAAATAGGGAGAGAGGGGGGGGGGCAGAGAGAGAGGTGGGTCTGCTGGAGCAGAGAAATTAGCATGTCAATGAGAGAGCTGTGTGGAAATCCACCCCGCGGCGGCCGGGGAGAGAAAGCAAGACTGGTACATTTTTTAAAGAGAGTTGTGTGGAAATCCACCCCGAAGCGGCCGCGGAGAGAGAGCGAATGGGCCTATGAGAGCCTGGTAAATTTTAGAGAGAGAAATAGGCAGTTTGAGAAAACAAACTTTGCATTTTTTTGGAAATATAATGCAATGCAATGCAAAGAGTCGGCTAACACACAGTTAACGCATAGCCTGGTTGATTACGTTCTCCAGAGATTGCTTAATTAGACGTTAAGTGTGAAATTTGACAAACAGAGGCACACAGAGAAAGAGAGAAAACAAACTTACATCCTCCCCGTAGAGGTGGTTCAAACTTGATTTGAAGCTTTCGTGACTGCAGGAATTACTCTTTGTTTTTTTCGGTAAAGTCACGTAGAAAGAAAATAAATTAAATAATATAATACGACGTTTCGATTGCAACACAAGCAATTGCCATCAGGTAGAACTAAATTTGAGAGAGACAAAAACACAGACACACACAGACAGACACACAAGCAGAGAGAGGCAACACAGAGAGAGAAACACAACATAGACACACTGAGACCCAATGCCTCTGTGTCGTGGCCTTAAATAGAGAGAGGGGGGGGGGCAGAGAGAGAGAGGTGGGTCTGCTGGAGCATAGAAATTAGCATGTCAATGAGAGAGCTGTGTGGAAATCCACTCCGCGGCGGCCGGGGGAGAGAAAGCAAGACTGGTACATTTTTTCGAGAGAGTTGTGTGGAAATTATATGCATTAGACTTAGAAGTTTTAGTTTCTTGTGAATATTGATTGTACTTTCTTTTAGTTTCAGGAGAAACAATTTTTTTTCTACAATAAGTCCGCCCATTCACCCGACTTGGATTTTTATCTCTGGGGTTTTAACATTTTGATTGATTATAGTGAATGATAATTCTAGAATTTCTAATCAATACCATGAATAAAATAAAGTTAGAAGTATATTACATGTACTCGTATTAAATTTATGTGGGTATTTCGAATAACAGTAAAACTATTAAACTTTCTTTTTAGGTTTATACATTTTCAGAAACGCTGTATTTAAAATACACCAAAGTATTTTGTATTTCAAGCACATTTATGAGAATGTTTTTTGTTAAGTACAACATTTCAATGTATTTTTGAACAGCAAACAGCGACACCCCTTATATGCAGTGTGAACACACATCGAGAGTCTACACATGTCTGTGCATGCACACAGGGGCGGAGCCAGGATTTCAGGCCGGGGTGACATTCAGCAAATTTTAATTTCAAGAATGATTAGAGAGTCAGGCTGTTGAGCTAGACGCCATCGGTTGGCGACACACTCTGACAATGCAGTTGCACGGAGTCCGCCAGACCGAGTGTCGTACACTTATACGGAGAATGTCACCCCTGTCACCCCCCCTGGCTCCGCCCCTGCGTGTACGGGTCAATGTGAATATAGTTGTCCGTTTCTTTATGTAATAGTCTGTGTGTACACCACCACTCATCCACTCCATACACAACATCACTCACCTCTACACGCCACCACCTATCTCCACAACTCTACCACTCACCACCAGATCCCATACCACACACCTCCAAACACCACCACCCACCTCAACACCAATCACCCCACCCCATGCCACCACATGCCCATTTTTTGGGTTGAGTTTTGTTCTTGCTCTTGTTGTTCAGATGTTCAGGAAGAAATCTCAAGACAGTGAACATGGCGAAGTCTCTCCCAAACCACCAACCAAAGAATTATTCAAGTCTAAGAGCAGCCTGGGCCTTCCCCTGCCCGGAGCTAGAAGACAGCTGCCAGTTCCGGCCAGTGATGACGCCGACAAACAAGGGTACGCTTCGATCGCTCCAGTCCGGTGCGTCCACTCCGATCTGGCATGATCATTCCGGTCTGGCACAACTGGGCCGGACTTGCACGGCCACTCCGGTCTGGTGTGACTGCTCCGGTGCGTCTGCTCTGATCCGGCACGACTACTCCGGTTCGGCACAACTGGGCCGGTCCAGCGCAACCGGATCGGTTCGGCGCGACCGGTGTGACTGCTCCGGTCCGACCAAAGTGGGCCGGTTCCGTGCAATTGCTCTGGCACAACCGCTCCGGTTCACCACAACCGCCCTCTTCCCCCCACCCCTTCCACTTCAGAACTACCATCGCTGCGTTACACTGTATTTGTTTGAAATGTTCTGCTGCATTATAAAGACGACTTAAATGCCAGCCGGAATAGCCGATGATGACTAACAAGGTGATTTTCACGTTTCATTTCTTCTCAGGTCGGAGCCTCCCCAATGGTTAAAGGAACTCAAGTCAAAACAGAAAAAGCCTGCCAAGGAATAGACACCAATGTGAGCCTGGAAAAGGTTTTCATCTACGAGCAGCACTGTGAATCGTGACATGATGCAGGGTTAATTCCATATATCCTGAAATGGGTATTCTGAATGTTTCTACTTAAGGATTGTATCATTCGCAGACAAATAATTTTAAATATATAATCTCTGCAGGAAAAGTCTTTGCATGTACACAGACATATTCGCGTACAATATGTTCAGGCATTTGCATAAGTCACTTTTTTTATTTGCTTAGAAGTTTAATAAATACGCGGCTATGCTTGTGTTAAAAACTCTTTTTATTTTTCCATAAGCGACCTGGCCACGAATGATAGCTCAACGAAGTAGCTTATGTGGAAATTTATATCAGTAAAATCCACCAAACGCGTGTTTCTAAATGTGGAGGGAAAAACCAAGGGACCCGGAGAAAAGTCCATGTGACCACGGGGAGAACATGCAAACTCCAAATAGACTCCTGTATGCCAGGCGAGGTAGTTAACATCTCGCCACTGTCGCACCCCGTTTACTTTGGTAGTTTGTTTGGCCTTAGCTCTCCTCTCCTCCACACGTGAGATTTATCATGGTCTTGACGGAAGCCGATGGCTCCCCGCACACGTACCCACACAACCGGGGCACTGAGGGCCGTGCTGGTCATACGCAATGCAGAGGTCACGGTGGATCGAATAACTCAACACAGAGGTCGTCGCAGTCACGGAGATTCCTTACAGGATCTGTCCACCAGACACAGCTAAACAAATTGGCACGTATAGTAGCTGTCAAAGCGCTTTGAGTGAAGGCGCTCTGTAAATTATATTAACGTGCCAAATTATTTCAGCTCGCGCGGGTAAGTTAAAGCACAATAATCCTCACGGCCAAATATAGCAATCAGATTTATCTACCGCTTATACCCGTGACCATTCGCTTAGCTATGTTGGGTGGACTTTGACACAAATGTTACCATATTAGGACGTGGCCGAACCCAAACATTCATAATGCATCAGTGGTTGAAATGCATTTGCCGGGAGCTGGTGGCTCTGCAGCACGCGGCCTATAACCCAGCACTGTGGATGAGACGGCGGTGGGGGTTGGTGGATCACGCACACGCTCAGGAAACTCCCTGCCCGTGCAGGGTATTGCAGTAGCGCAAATGGTGGGTTAATTTCCTTAGTTACGGGGATTGTTCGATCCGCCTCGCACACGTGGGTTTTGTGAGGATGCTCTGGTTTTATCCCACTTGTGTAAAACACAACTCGCTCATGGAGTTGGCCAAACATCCCCCAATTGTAGGACCGTTGAGCTTGAGGTATGGTTGCCACCGGTTCTGGCTGCCTCCCCGCGTCGTGTTTGTGGCTTCGCGCGCCTCTGAATCATTCTCATTCGGACTTTCTGTGCACTGTGCTCAACCTGTAAATAATAAATTGCTTCACTGTTGATTACACTGCGTCGCCTCTCACGAGATTCTTTGGTAACGCGCCATTGCTCCTTTGTAAGAGCGGGAAACCCTGCGGGCGGGACGAGACGTCACCGGCTTCTGCAAGGCAATGACGTCACGCGGCACCGCGAGGCGTTACGTCGCCAACTTGTGCAAGGGCCTGACGTCACCAGATTCTGCAAGGCATTGACATCACGCGGCACCGCGAAGCGCTACGTCACTAACTTGAGCAAAGGCGTGACGTCACCAACTTGCTACAAGGGGGTGACATCAAGAGGTCCCGCGAGGCATTTGAATAGCGACGTCACTGTACCACGAAGCGTGCATCACCGGCCTCCGCAAAGGAATTACGTCAGGCGGCCCTTGCGAGGCGTGACGTAACGCGCGCAAACCCTGCCAGAGGAATGACGTCACGTTGCGCTGTGCCGGTGACGTCACGCCATGGCGGCCTCGTTCCACCCGCGCGCGGGGCGCCTCGTCTCGCTGAGTAACGGGGGCCGCACGGCGCGGCGCCTCCGAGCCGCGCACGAGTTCAACCACGGCCTCGTGATGAGCCGCGAGCCGCTGCGGGACGGGCAGCTCTTCCAGATCCGCATCGACCGCAAGGTGAGGAACCCCCCCGCCCCGGGGGTGAGGAGGAGGGGGGACGCCGAGCCCCCGATCGCCCGGCGCGGGGCTCTCAGATTCCCCAGCTCGGACCGGCGCTTACCCCGCGCCCATTGGCCGAGGCGGCGGCCACGCGGCGCGCTCATTGGGCCGCCGCATCACGTGGCGCTCGTGTGCACTGCGAATTCTGACGAGGGCCGCGCGCAGCATCCCGCAGCCCCCTCCCCTCATCGCCCCTCACCCCCACCCCGCCCCTCACTCCCTTCACCTCCTCACCCCCCCTCTTCACACCCCCACCCCGCCCCTCCCTTCACCTCCTCACCCCCCTCTTAACCCTCACCCCAGCCCTCATCCCCCCTCCCCTTATCCCAACCTCACCCCTAGCCCCCAACCCTCAACGCCCAGCTCTTCCCCCACACTTTATATAACCTAACCCCTTCCCTGACCCCCTCACCCCACGCGTCCCCTCAGTTGCCCCCTGCAGATTGCTGTTTACATGTTGCGGGTTGCTGTTGCCATGTTGCAGGTTGCTGTTGCCAGGTTGCTGTTGACAGGTTGCTGTTGACATGTTGCTGTTGCAGGTTGCTGTTGACGTTTTGCAGGTTGCTGTTTCCAGGTTGCTGTTGCCAGGTTGCTGTTGACATGTTGCAGGTTGCTGTTGCAGGTTGCTGTTGACGTGTTGCCAGGTTGCTGTTGCCAGGTTGCTGTTGCCAGGTTGCTGTTGACATGTTGCAGGTTGCTGTTGCAGGTTGCTGTTGACGTGTTGCAGGTTGCTGTTGGCGTCTAATAGGTTGCCATGTTGATGTTGACGTGTTGCAGGTTTCCATGTTGCAGGTTGCTGTTGACGTGTTGCAGGTTATTGTTGACGTTGCAGGTTGCTGTTGCTGTTGACGTGTTGCAGGTTGCCATGATGTAGGTTGCTGTTGACATGTTGCAGGTTATTGTTGACGTTGCAGGTTGCCAAGTTGCTGTTGACGTGTTGCAGGTTGCCATGATGTAGGTTGCTGTTGACATGTTGCAGGTTGTTGTTGCCATGTTGCATTTTGCTGTTGACGTGTTGCAAGTTGCTTTTGACGTGTTGCGGGTTGTTGGTGATGTTGCTGGTTGCTGTTGAAGTGTTGCAGGATGCTGTTGAAGTGTTGCAGTTTGCCGTGTTGCAAGTTGCTTTTGACGTGTTGCGGGTTGTTGGTCATGTTGCGGGTTGCTGTTGAAGTGTTGCAGGTTGCTGTTGCCATGTTGCAGGTTTCTGTTAAATGCAGTGCCTCATAAACGTGTGTTAAGCAACGTATGATACGCATGTAGTACCCATGCATTACGAATGTCCTGAATGCTGAGAGTTATTTAATCTGAGGCGTGACCGCCCTTATTCGGCGAGACCGATGTTATCTGTGCCCCACGAGGCAACACCATGCACCCGTGACATATATTCTTGACGTATGTCCTCGTCTTTTTGCACACCAGTGAAATCCATTTTGACGTTTCTGTGACTTGATTTTTACTGCGTGGTTTTTCGAAGTAATTTGTCCCAAGGCAACGTTTTGTTACAGCAAATGTATTTTCATTAATTATAATATGTTTTGTGTACTGTTTCAGTTTTGCCTGTAAACACTTTTTGTTTGCTCTGATTTCTACTTGGCAGTTTTTTTTGTTATCTGCGTTTGCCGTGTCGCTGGGTTCTTTGCGTAATAATGAGCGTGTCGTCTACATTTTCGCAGCTCAACTCGTGGAGCGGCTCCCTCGAGGTGGGGCTTACATCCCGGGACCCAGGCCAGGAAGCGAGTGAGCTTCCGAGCAGTGCCACGACGCTACGGGGCGGCGCCTGGCTGCTGTCGGGCTCCTGCGTGCTGCATGACGCCAAGACGCTGCTCGATGCATATGGGCGCACGCACGCCGGTGAGGGTACGTGTTTGCGCTCGTGCGCTCGTGCGCTCGTGCGCTCGTGTGCTCGTGTGCATGTGTGTGTGGCGCACATGTGCTTAACGGTGAGGTTTAATCGGCACGTTGGTGAAAGAGTGTGTGTGTGTGTGTGGACCCCCCTCATGGAACATCTTCGCCGGTTAGAAACATTTAGGCTGGCCTGCCTACGATCCATCCTGGGTTTAACCAGGCTGGATTGTGTGAGGAGCTCACAAATCCTTGAAAGATCTCATCGGTGAGCTCCGGCAGGCAAGGCTACGTTGGCTGGACCATGTAGCCCGCATGCCTAGCCACCGCATGCCTAAACAGCTTTTGTTCGGCCGGATAGAGGGGGCTAAACGGGCGCGGCACGGGCTAAAAAAGAGGAGTGATGTGGTACAGGAGGACGTGGAGCTGAGTGGACTTGCCGTTGACTGGTACCAGCGGTGTCAAGATCGGCCTCAGTGGAGGAGGCTCATGAAGGACGCTACTGGGCAGTTGGAGGTAGTCACCCTCCAACAACAACGGAGGGCGGAGGAGCGAAGCTCACAACAACGAGCGGAGCGCCAGGCGGCTAAAACACAGCAAGTTTGCACAGTAGGGGGCACAGGTGGTGCATCAGCCAGTCGTCTTAGTCAGTTGACTTATGGCACCTGGGTCTGCCCCGTGACCTCCTGCCAGCGGGCTTTTGACACTTCACATGGCCTCAAGGTGCACATGGCCTGGCACAAGTGTCGTGGTGACGTCACCGCCACTTAGTGGTGAATGGCGGTTGTTGTTGTGTGTGCGGACACATGCGGTCGTGAAGTGGTTATCGCACTGCCCTACTAACTCGGTTTCCGCTCATGGGTGACGAATATCTGAACCGGTCCTGGGCCTCCTCCTATGTCCAATCGGCCTTAAATGAGTACCTGGTATTGTGCGTAAACATATGTGAAATGATTCAAGAGAGGCGCACACACTGCTATGGGAAGGCAACACTTTATTAACACAACGTGAAATAACAATACACATAGGGTGGTGACCACCGACCTATCCTCGCTAACATTGTCGTGGCCAAGCCAGGAGGGCCACTGCCTGGCCACACTGGCTTGAGGCTTGGCTTCACTCTTCATGAGGCGTCTTCGTGAGGCATCTTCATCCCGGACCCGAGCAGCCCCGCACCAAGTCCGGATCCCGCTTATATGCGCCTCGGCGTGGCCAGGCCACACCCCGGCCACGCCCACCTTCCACACCCTCGAGAAGGCTTTGCTTCTGGCCATGTGGCCTCCAAAGTTCCCCCGGGGCCCCTGGCACCCACCTTGATCAAGTCACGTGTCCGGTCGGGTTCATCCAGAGTGCCACGGCCTCACACAACCCCCGCGGCACTGACCGACGGCCTCCAAGCCCCCCGACCCGGCCGTGACGTCATTCCCACATCCACATGTAGTAACCTCATGTGTGTGTGTCGACCCACACGGTAGTGACGTTATGCGTGTGTGTGTATATTCACACGGTAGTGACGTTACAAGTCACTACATATGTACTAGGGTTCCATACTCTTTGGTTCTATTCGGTAAAGTCACGTAAAAGTATAAAACAACAAAAAAAAATTCACAACGTTTCGGCCACAACACAAGTGGCCTTCATCAGGTGAAGGGACCAAACTGTCTCGAGGACAGCGCTGGAGTGAACGCAGCCAAGCTCAGACCGCGACCTTTAAGCTGTGTGAGAGGAAACAAGGTGCCTTGACAACGGAATTAGCATAAAAATTATCATTTAATTGGCGGACTTAGCATGATGAATGGTGTAGAGAGGGGGAAACATGTGCAGACCGGCGAGGGGGGGAGGGGGAGTTTACATATTGATGGTGTGAAAAGGGAATTTAAGCAGCTGCGAAAGTTTGGGATACCACTACTTGAAAAAATATACTGTACCATTGAAAATTCGTTTAATGTTTTGTTCAATTTAGAACATCTTTCCAATGGTTGCTTAATTTGAAACCATCTTCTCGGTTGAAATTGTGTCTGTTTGTAAATCTTAATTGCCTCGTGAACAAATCTCTGATAAAAACCCGTGGGTTTGCAAAGAACCTTGGTATCGGAGAAAATTATATCGTGATCACCCACAGCGTTGTAACAGTGATCAGCTTCTGCCGTGTTTCAAATCTGGTTTGTGCTCGCGAATTCGGTCAGAGACATGTTGTTTTGTCTCCCCGATATAGCAGTCACCACAGGTGCAGATCAATCTGTAAACTCCGGGGTACTGCAAGTCAGGAATGACATCCTTCACGGAAGGGATCAGGTCACGGATTTTGTGTACTGTATTGAACTGGACCAGGATCTTGTGTTTAGAATTTTGGAGATCTTTTTAGTAACGCCTGCTATATATGGCAGTGTGATGGTTTTGATCAGAGTATCAAGTGGTTGTTTCTGTATGGAGGGAGAAACAGCTTGGCGGATGGTACGGTCAGAGTATCTATTCCTTTTGAGGGCCAGATGCACATGTTTTAATTCACTGGTCAGGTGGTGTTGGTCCGAAATGCAATGAGCCCTGTGGTATAACGTTTTGATGAGAGAATTATTTTGCGTCAGGCGATGGTGGGAATCAGGTTTCAATTAGGGATCTTTGTGGGTGGGTTTCCTGTAGACAATGTCCCAATGAGCCATCAGGTCTCCTCTCAAACAGAACATCCAAGAATGGTAGCTTGCCATCTTTCTCCACTTCCATGGTGAATTTGATGGCAGGGTGTCTGGAATTAATGTGGTCTAGGAAAAGGTTCAAAGCCGGGAGGCCAGGGAAGGTCTGAGGGTGGAAGTCTGGATGGCGTCTGATTCAAATTTCTCCATGAAAATATTGGCTATCACTGGTGACAAGGGGGATCCCATGGGGGTACCCTCATTTTGTTTGTAGAAGGAGCCATTCCAAGTAAAGTAGGCATTGTTGAGGCAGTGCCTAACCAGTGCAGGTGTATCGGGGTCTAGTCCATGTTTGACCAATTTTTCAATTATTTCAATGGTATCAGGTACTGGGACCTTGGTGAACAAAAAAACCACATCGAAGCTGACAAGGATATCGTCAGGGGACAGTACAACGTCTTTGACCATAGGGACCAATTGGGCTGAGATAAGTTCTGCTGAGGCGGTCTTGCCAGTGAAAGGCAGCAAGGTATCTGACAGAAAATGGGCTAGTCTATAGGTAGGGGAGTTGATCGTAGATACGATGGGTCGTAGTGGGGTATCTTCTTTATGAAACTTGGGAAGACCATAGAATCTAGGGGGTCTTGCAGCAGAATGTTTTAGGGAGGGACGTTTAGTTGGGTCGATTAGAGAGGTCGAACTTGTGATGATCTTGTTGGTTTTTATCGCTAGGCTATTAGTAGGGTCATTTTTAATTTTTGAGTAACTTCCATCGTTGAGCAGATTCTGGATTTTGTTGTTGTATGAATCTTTATCCATAATTACAGTAGCGTTGCCTTTATCGGCTGAGAGGATGACTATGTCACTTCTGTTTTTTAAATTTGCGAGTTCAGAGCGTTCATTTTTGCTGTTGTTGCTAATGGGTTTCTTAGCATTCTTAAGAATAATGGCTATTTCAGCTCTCGCAACGTCTGCTTGGATGTGTCCTACGCCTTTGAGGGCTACATCGACCTGAGAGATGATATCATCTACTGGTATGTGTTTTGGGGTGACAGCAAAATTTAGCCCCCTAGCCAGTACTGTTTTCAGATTGTCCGAAATCAGGGTGACGTCTAGTTTTGTTATATGTGGAACTGTGTTCTTCTTTGATAGGTGGTTGAAGTTAGAAATCAGGTTTGCTTTGCATTTGGCTGACAGTGAATCAGCAGAAGAAGCAGTTATGTTGTCTACGTGATTCCAATCAGAAGGTGACATTTATTGTGTGAACATTAAATGAGCTCGTAGGAGAGTCCTGTCTAAAGTATCGAGTTCAAATCGGAGTAGTCTTATCCTCTCTGAGATTAAAGATAGGCTGGCCTTAAACAGAATCTGTTTAGAATTCAGTGAAGATCCAGCAGCAGAAGTGAGTGTGAAAGCGATGGGTATTACCTTGTGATCATGGCATCTTTTGAGGAAGGTCAGCGTCTCGCTGAGCTGTGACTTCTTGTCCTGTTGTCTGTTAAAAGCTCTAACAGATAGGTGAAAACCCTCCCCGTAGAGGCTATCAATTCTAGATTTGAAGCTTTCGTGACTGCAAGGATCCATACTTGTTGGTTCACGTAAAAGTATAAAACAACAAAAATAAAAAAAATTAAATTCACGACGTTTCAAATTAAGCAACCATTGGAAAGATGTTCTAAATCGAACCAAACATTAAACTAATTATCAATGGTACAGTATATTTTTTCAAGTAGTGGTATCCCAAACTTTCGCAGCTGCTTATATTCCCTTTTCACACCATCAATATATTAACTCCCCCTCCCCCCCTCGCCGGTCTGCACATGTTTCCCCCTCTCTACACCGTTCATCATGCTAAGTCCGCCAATTAAATGCTAATTTTTATGCTAATCCCTTTGTCAAGGCACCTTGTTTCCTCTCACACAGCTTAAAGGTCGCGGTCTGAGCTTGGCTCTGTTCACTCCAGCGCTGTCCTCGAGACAGTCTGGTCCCTTCACCTGATGAAGGCCACTTGTGTTGTGGCGTCGTCAATTTTTTATTTTTGTTGTTTTATACTTTTACCTGACTTTACCGAATAGAACCAAAGAGTATGGATCCTTGCAGTCACGAAAGCTTCAAATCTAGAATGTACTAGGGAACCAGAGATGACTGGGTGTAGTGCTGGCCACCCACTCCAACGTGTGCCATGCTGGCCTTCACAGGTGCACACTCAAGAGTCTGTTCAGGATACACGGCGGGATCTTTATCATTAATCGCGCACATGCGTGTGTGTGCACAAGATGAGTGTGTGGACCTGGACTCGCTGGAGGAGGGAGCGCTGGTTGGGGTGCAGAGGACAGCTGCGGGCGAGTTCCACGTGTGGCTCAACGGCCACGACTGTGGGGTGGCGGCCACAGGCCTCCCCTCCCCTGTGTGGGCCCTCATAGACCTCTACGGCAAGTGTACACAGGTGAGGCTCGTGCACGCGGGGGAGACTCGTGCACGCGGGTGAGCCTCTTATACACCGTAACATGTTGTATGCATTTCCATGTGACTTACACACACGTGTGTGTATCTTTGCAGGTCACTGTTGTGGATGATGAACGACCACAACAGGCAGCCGATCACCCACCAGAAGGTATTTTACGAAGAGCCCACAGCAACCGCATGCAGGGCCGGATTAAGGCATGGGCTTTAGTGGCTGCAGCCCAGGGGCCTCCGCCAGAGATTAAGTGAAAAGTTATTTCATTTGTGAGTGCTGAATTTTATTTGTTGTTAGCCTTGTAAAAATAAAGTTTATTTTTCTTTAACTGTGTTTTCCAGACCCAAAGAGTATGAATTCCTGCAGTCACGAAAGATTTAAGTCAAGATTTGTTTTCCTTTTCAAATATTACTGGGGACCTCACAGTACCTGTAGCCCAGGGGCCTGCAAAATCTTAATCCGGCCCTGACCGCATGCACAAAATTCCCCCAGCCGCATGTACCATTAGTTATTTATTTTGAAACCGCGGTAATCTGCCAACCGAGTCATCCTTGAAAAGCACTTCTTAGCTCAACGGGCTTTACTTGGGAAATAACTTCTAATTCTGCTAAACATATCTCGGCTCATTACAGTGCCCTCATACGACCACCATGTGGAAATGTTTTCTCACCACCTAGACAGCACACAGTCTCTGCATGATGTGTAAGTGCCCCTTGGATTTCACTCTGACATCAACCCATAAATTACAGCCTGCAGGCAGCGAATCAACATCACCAGCCGTTAAAATGAGGTTGACACTGATTATCCATTCTGGGTTGTGTGCGTTTGACTCGAGGGCCCAGGAAGGCGCTTTGTAGGCAGGAGGGGTGAGACGCGGTGGCCCCGTCGTCATCGCTCCTCTAAGCGCGTCCTCGTTGTCTGCGCATGTTCCCACCTCCCCAGCCTCCCGCTGTCTTCCGTCCGCCGCTCCTCCGCCGGACAACGTCTCCGCATCGCGCACAGAGAGTCGCCGCAGCGGCGCGGCGCGGCACGGCACTCGGGCGGCCTCCACCTCCTCCTTGTCGGCGGCGGCGGCAGTGGACGCGGGGTTGACGGTGGCGGTGGACGTGCACGGCTCGGCACCACTCGGCTCCGCGCTCGCCTCGTCGTCGTCCGCCTCCCTCCTCTCGGCTCCTACCCACTCCTGGTCCAGCCCCCCGACGCCCCATGCGCCTGTGTCTGCCTGCAACGACGCACTGCTCTTCCACGCAAAGTGCGGTGCCCTCATCCGTCTGAGCAACAACCAAAAGACAGCCGAGCGGCGGCGGCCACTGGATGAGTTCAACAATGGCGTCGTGCTCACGAACCGGCCGCTTCGCCATGGAGAGACGTTTGAGGTGTGTGCATCGTGGGTGGATTGTGTGGTGTGGATCGTGTGGTGTGGATCGTGTGTGTGGATCGTGGGTGGATCGTGGGTGGATCGTGGGTGGATCGTGGGTGAATCGTGTGTGCATCGTGGGTGGATTGTATGGTATGGATCGTGGGTGGATTGTGGGTGGGTGAGCGGGCACAAGTAAGGTTTAAACATGTCATACATATTTTTTATTTGAAGCTTTCGTGACTGCAGCAATCCATACTCTTTGGTTCTTTCGGTAAAGTCACATAGGTAGAAAAATAAAATAATAAATTATATATCACGACGTTTCGCTCGCAAGCAGTCGTCCTCAGGCGGAAAAAATAATTCAGCAGTGGAACTGTGGAACTGCTGAACCAGCGAGATAGGTGTTACAACAAGAGGTTATATATGTGGCAATGGACAAGCAAGCGGGGTCTGAGCTGGAAGGAATTCCATCCCCGGACGCAAGCACTTCAGTTGTGTTAATGGGGGAGATTAGGGAGAGAGAGATTAGGGAGAGAGATTAGCATGAGATGAGCTTCTGTTGCCCCATAAGTGTATATATGTGCACAACAGCAGTGTTAATGGGAGATTAGCACTATGTTGATGGGAGATATTAGGCAGAGAGATTAGAGGGATTAGCAAGTTAATGTCATGTCTATGTGCAACACAAGCTGCGGCGCTGCCAACTGCGCTGTGAGAGGCAAGCGCGTCCACGCAAGGGAACCACCGCAATGGTGGTCGCGCCAGTGAGACACACAGCCCATCACACAGCCAGAACCATCGATACATCGAGGCTAAGGGAGCAGAGGTGGCCATGTTATTGAGACCCCAGCCCGTTAATGCAGAGGCACCTAACAGGGCAATGCAACTCAGAGAGTCGGAGATAACAGCCAAACGGCAGGGAAGAATGGAAGCACCACAGCAAGTTACGACTTTGCTTGGTTAATAACATCCTTCCAATGATTGCTCAGCTTATACCCATCTTATCGGTTGAAATTGTCTCTGTGTTTATATATCTGGATGGCTTCATGGACAAATCTTTGATGCTAGCCTGAAGGTTTGCAGAGTACCTTGGTCTCGGAAAAAACAATATTGTGCGAGCAGAAGTTCATTTCATGCTCATCTCTCTCCCGAATCTCTCTCTCTCCCTAATCTCCCCCATTAACACAACTGACGTGCTTGCGTCCAGGGATGGAATTTCTTCCAGCTCAGACCCCGTTTGCTTGCCCGCCCATCGCCACATATATACAGTGAGGGAAAAAAGTATATGATCCCCTGCTGATTTTGTACGTTTGCCCACTGACAAAGAAATGATCAGTCTATAATTTTAATGGTAGGTTTATTTGAACAGTGAGAGACAGAATAACAAAAAAATCCAGAAAAACGCATGTCAAAAATGTTATGAATTGATTTGCATTTTAATGAGGGAAATAAGTATTTGACCCCTCTGCAAAACATGATATGGTGGCAAAACCCTTGTTGGCAATCACAGAGGTCAGACGTTTATTGTAGTTGGCCACCAGGTTTGCACACATCTCAGGAGGGATTTTGTCCCACTCCTCTTTGCAGATCTTCTCCAAGTCATTAAGGTTTCGAGGCTGACGTTTGGCAACTCGAACCTTCGGCTCCCTCCACAGATTTTCTATGGGATTAAGGTCTGGAGACTGGCTAGGCCACTCCAGGACCTTAATGTGCTTCTTCTTGAGCCACTCCTTTGTTGCCTTGGCCATGTGTTTTGGGTCATTGTCATGCTGGAATACCCATCCACGACCCATTTGCAATGTCCTCGCTGAGGGAAGGAGGTTCTCACCCAAGATTTGACGGTACATGGCCCCATCCATCGTCCCTTTGATGCGGTGAAGTTGTCCTGTTCCCTTAGCAGAAAAACACCCCCAAAGCATAATGTTTCCACCTCCATGTTTGACGGTGGGGATGGTGTTCTTGGGGTCATAGGCAGCATTCCTCCTCCTCCAAACACGGCGAGTTGAGGTGATGCCAAAGAGCTCCATTTTGGTCTCATCTGACCACAACATTTTCACCCAGTTGTCCTCTGAATCATTCAGATGTTCATTGGCAAACTTCAGACGGGCATGTATATGTGCTTTCTTGAGCAGGGGGACCTTGCGGGCGCCGCAGGATTTAAGTCCTTCACGGCATAGTGTGTTACCAATTGTTTTCTTGATGACTATGGTCCCAGCTGCCTTGAGATCATTGACAAGATCATCCCGTGTAGTTCTGGGCTGATTCCTCACCATTCTCATGATCATTGCAACTCCACGAGGTGAGATTTTGCATGGAGCCCCAGGCCGAGGGAGATTGACAGTTATTTTGTGTTTCTTCCATTTGCGAATAATCGTACCAACTGTTGTCACCTTAAATTTCGATTTAAAGCTTTCGTGACTGCAATGATTCATCTTCTTTGGTTCTTTCGGTAAAGTCACGTAGAATGAGAATAAAATAATAAATTGATAAAATAAAATAACACAATAATATTCTCACGACGTTTCGGCCACAACACAAGCGGCCTTCATCAGGTGAAGGGAGCGAGACTGTCTGGTAGGACAGCGCTGGAGTGAGAGAGCCACGTTCAGATCACGGCTTTTAAGCTGTGTAAGAGGAACAAAGAGCCTTGACGAAGGAATTAGCATAAAATTTAGCATTGAAAAGGCTGAATGATTAGCTTGTGACTGGTCACAGAAATAGCTATGTTAAAAGTTAAAGCATACACATCCGCAGAGGCACCCATTGTTAAAAGGAATTAGCATAGAATTTAGCATTGAAATAGCTAAATTAAGGCATTCGCTTGTAACTGCTACAGAAATAGTTACGTTGAAATCAGAGCATACACATTCACCGAGGCACTTAGTACAAATCAAAACAGGAGAATTTAGCATTGAAATAACTAGGCGAATTTAGCATTGAAATAACTGGGTGATTTGCTAGTGACTGGTCACAGAAATGACTACACATCTGAGCTATTCACAGTACTATATAGTGAACCAATAAAAACTAAAATATAAATTACCTTCATGTTATCAATAAACTCTATATTCTCCAATCAGCTAAGCTACCAACCATAAGTCGTTATATATCACAATGCTATATGGCGAAAAAATGGGTGGATTCTTACCCTCAAATTTCCGTACCACGGATAGCTACGGGCCCCGTTCAGACGGACGAGTTCGTCCATGGTCGGAACAGAGGAGGGGGAGAGAGACAGCTGCGAAGCCCTAGTGTACTCCATGTTGTAAACCATACCATTAACCGTGGTGTGAGAGGTATTAAGAGGCAATGCTGGCGAAAGAGCTGCGGTCTGAAGGTCATCGTAAAATTACAATTAATTAAGAACAGAAATGATTTAACACATCTTTCCAGTGGTTACTAAGCCTGAATCCATCTTCTCGGTTGAAATTGTCTCTGTGCTTGTATATGTGAATGGCCTCATGAACGAATCTCTCATGGTAGCCAGTTGGTTTGCAAAGAACCTCCGTCTTGGAGAAGTCAATGTCATGTGAGCCCACTGAATTGTAACAGTGATCTGCCACGGCAGAGGAGTTCGTCTTACCGTGTTTCAAGTCTGCTTTATGTTCGCAGATGCGGTCCGAGATATGTCTTTTGGTTTCTCCAATGTAGCTACTACCACAGAGGCACTTTAGTTTGTAAACGCCCGGGTACTGTATGTCTGGAAGAGCATCTTTTACAGATGGAACTAAATCACGGATTTTGTGTACTGTGTTGAATCGGACCTGGATCTTGTGTTTATTCAGGATTTTGGAGATCTTTTTAGTGACCCCTGCAATGTAGGGTAAGGTGATGGTTTTGAGTGGCTCCACAAGAGGATCCTTCTTCATGACTGGAGTGATGGCTTTGCGGATTGTGTAGTCGGAGTAGCCATTAGCCCTGAGAGCCTGGTGTACGTGCTTGAGTTCACTGGTAATGTGTTCCTGGTCGGAAATGCATTGGGCTCTATGGTATAGAGTCTTGATGAGGCAGTTCTTCTGGGATGGATGGTGGTGGGAATCCGGTTTCAAGTAAGCATCTGTATGGGTAGCTTTCCTGTAGACAGAGTGGCTCATTGAACCATCATGTCTCCTTTTAATTAAGACATCCAGAAAGGGTAGTTTGCCATCTTTTTCGACCTCCATGGTAAATCTGATGGCTGGCACGTTTTCTGGCTGATATACTGCGACCTTCACTGGAAAAACCACCTCTGCGGTTACTAAATTCTACTCACCTGGTATCGACAATCAAAGACATTTCCCTGTCCCCAAACGACCTGCTTGTCAGTTTTGATGTGGTGTCCTTGTTCACCAAAGTCCCGGTACCTGACACCATCGCTATCATTGAAGACCTGGTTCATCAAGGACTGCATACTGATGTACCCCCCCTGGTGAGACATTGCTTAACCAACACATACCTCACCTGGAGTGGAACTTTCTACAAACAAACTGAGGGCACCCCAATGGGCTCCCCCCTATCTCCGGTTGTAGCCAACGTATTCATGGAAAATTTGAAACTGACGCCATCCAGACTGCCACTCTACGCCCGACCTTATGGAATAGGTACGTTGATGACACCTTTGTCATCTGGCCACATGGCCAGCCTGCTCTAGACCAATTCCGCGACCACATCAATTCCATACACCCAGCCATCAGATTTACCATGGAGGTCGAAAAAGATGGCAAACTACCCTTTCTGGATGTCTTAATTAAAAGGAGACATGATGGTTCAATGAGCCACTCTGTCTACAGGAAAGCTACCCATACAGATGCTTACTTGAAACCGGATTCCCACCACCATCCATCCCAGAAGAACTGCCTCATCAAGACTCTATACCATAGAGCCCAATGCATTTCCGACCAGTAACACATTACCAGTGAACTCAAGCACGTACACCAGGCTCTCAGGGCTAATGGCTACTCCGACTACACAATCCGCAAAGCCATCACTCCAGTCATGAAGAAGGATCCTCTTGTGGAGCCACTCAAAACCATCACCTTACCCTACATTGCAGGGGTCACTAAAAAGATCTCCAAAATCCTGAATAAACACAAGATCCAGGTCCGATTCAACACAGTACACAAAATCCGTGATTTAGTTCCATCTGTAAAAGATGCTCTTCCAGACATACAGTACCCGGGCGTTTACAAACTAAAGTGCCTCTGTGGTAGTAGCTACATTGGAGAAACCAAAAGACATATCTCGGACCGCATCCGCGAACATAAAGCAGACTTGAAACACGGTAAGACGAACTCCTCTGCCGTGGCAGATCACTGTTACAATTCAGTGGGCTCACATGACATTGACTTCTCCAAGACGGAGGTTCTTTGCAAACCAACTGGCTACCATGAGAGATTCGTCATGAGGCCATTCACATATACAAGCACAGAGACAATTTCAACCGAGAAGATGGATTCAGGCTTAGTAACCACTGGAAAGATGTGTTAAATCATTTCTGTTCTTAATTAATTGTAATTTTACGATGACCTTCAGACCGCAGCTCTTTCGCCAGCATTGCCTCTTAATACCTCTCACACCACGGTTAATGGTATGGTTTACAACATGGAGTATACTAGGGCTTCGCAGCTGTCTCTCTCTCCCCCTCCTCTGTTCCGACCATGGACGAACTCGTCCGTCTGAATGGGGCCCGTAGCTATCCGTGGTACGGAAATTTGAGGGTAAGAATCCACCCATTTTTTCGCCATATAGCATTGTGATATATAACGACTTATGGTTGGTAGCTTAGCTGATTGGAGAATATAGAGTTTATTGATAACATGAAGGTAATTTATATTTTAGTTTTTATTGGTTCACTATATAGTACTGTGAATAGCTCAGATGTGTAGTCATTTCTGTGACCAGTCACTAGCAAATCACCCAGTTATTTCAATGCTAAATTCGCCTAGTTATTTCAATGCTAAATTCTCCTGTTTTGATTTGTACTAAGTGCCTCGGTGAATGTGTATGCTCTGATTTCAACGTAACTATTTCTGTAGCAGTTACAAGCGAATGCCTTAATTTAGCTATTTCAATGCTAAATTCTATGCTAATTCCTTTTAACAATGGGTGCCTCTGCGGATGTGTATGCTTTAACTTTTAACATAGCTATTTCTGTGACCAGTCACAAGCTAATCATTCAGCCTTTTCAATGCTAAATTTTATGCTAATTCCTTCGTCAAGGCTCTTTGTTCCTCTCACACAGCTTAAAAGCCGTGATCTGAACGTGGCTCTCTCACTCCAGCGCTGTCCTACCAGACAGTCTCGCTCCCTTCACCTGATGAAGGCCGCTTGTGTTGTCGCCGAAACGTCGTGAGAATATTATTGTGTTATTTTATTTTATCAATTTATTATTTTATTCTCATTCTACGTGACTTTACCGAAAGAACCAAAGAAGATGTTGTCACCTTCTCACCAAGCTGCTTGGCAATGGTCTTGTAGCCCATTCCAGCCTTGTGTAGGTCTACAATCTTGTCCCTGACATCCTTGGAGAGCTCTTTGGTCTTGGCCATGGTGGAGAGTTTTGAATCTGATTGATTGCTTCTGTGGACAGGTGTCTTTTATACAGGTAACAAGCTGAGATTAGGAGCACTCCCTTTAAGAGTGTGCTCCTAATCTCAGCCAGAAATCTTTCTGATTGAGAGGGGGTCAAATACTTATTTCCCTCATTAAAATGCAAATCAATTTATAACATTTTTGACATGCGTTTTTCTGGATTTGTTTGTTGTTATTCTGTCTCTCACTATTCAAATAAACCTACCATTAAAATTATAGACTGATCATTTTTTTGTCAGTGGGCAAACGTACAAAATCAGCAGGGGATCAAATACTTGTTTCCCTCACTGTAACCTCTTGTTGTAACAGCTCTCTCGCTAGTTTAGCAGTTCCACAGCTGGATTATTTCTTCTGCCTGAGGACGACCGCTTGTGTTGCGATCGAAACGTCGTGATATATTATTTTTTCTTTTATCTTTCAACCTACGTGACTTTACCGAAAGAACCAAAGAGTACATGTCATATTATTTTGTATCCAATTGAATTTTGTATCCAAGTGAATTATTATAAGACTTCCTTAATTCCATGCACCAACTCTTTGGTTCTTTCAGTAAAGTCACGTAGAAAGAAAATAAATTGAATAATAGAATACGACGTTTCGATTGCAACACAAGCGGTCGTCATCAGGTAGAACTAAATTTGAGAGAGAGACAAAACACAGACACGGAGACACACAGACAGACACACAGGCAGAGAGAGACAACATAGACACACAGAGACCCAATGCCTCTGTCTTGAGGCCTTAAATAGAGAGAGAGGGGTGGGTTGGGCAGAGAGAGAGGTGGGTCCTGCTTGTAAATTTTAGAGAGCCTGGTAAATTTTAGAGAGAGAAATAGGTAGTATGAGAAAAAAATTGTTATTTTTTTTGGAAATGTAATGCAATGCAACACAGAGAGTCTATGCACCCACATTGTGTGTTTTTTTATTCCTAGATCCGGATAGACCGACTGGTGGACAAGTGGAGTGGCTCTCTAGAAATTGGTGTAACGACACATGACCCCAACAGCATGGACTATCCGGCCACAATGACCAACATGATGTCAGGTATTGTACAAGCACGTTATGAAACGTAATCGTCGATAAACATGCAGAATTATGTGAATTAATGAGTGGCGCAGTGGTTAGCGGCACTGCACTCTAAATTCGGAGACCTGAGTTGAAATGTGGTTTCCAGCTCATATCAGTGATGTTTGAGCTGGTCCCGTGACCCCCATTTCACCAGTTCACACTCCCAGTGTGGTAAAATATGTCCAAATATCCCCCATGACCAACACAGCCTGGGAAGGCCTTCATCCATCAGTAGATTTACAAAGAGCTGTAAGTTATTATAATTTATATCAAAACACTTTACAGTTTTTGTCACCGACATATGCCATATAAATTGTCTATCTATTATCTTACTAACAAGGCAGACATAATTGCGGAGGCAAACTAATTAAACAGTACGCATTTATACAAAAGCATAAAGAAACACAAATTATATTTAAATGGTGCACACTGCCGGTTCATGTAGAATGTAACCCAGGTTTGTCGTAGCATCTGCAGGAGTGTTTGTGTGTCTGCAGAGAACTTTCCTCATCCCTCGCCTTGATGTGTCTATCTATGTTGAACTTGTTTTGCACCGTACATAGCCAACCGTGATAATCAGAGGTGTGGGAGGATGATGATGATGGTCTGTTTAAATATGCAGGTACAATCATGATGAGCGGCTGTGGGATCCTGACAAACGGGAAGGGGACGCGGCGAGAGTACTGCGATTTCAGCCTCGATGAGCTGCAGGTGACGTAATCATTACGGGCATGATTTCCACATGCTTTGTCATCGATGCTGCCTTGACATTATAGCAGACTCTCGATTATCCACGTGCGGTTTATCCGATTCGCGGATTAACCGCGCACCTGAGATTTTGATATAATGAATAACTCGTGGATTTTCCCTTTAGCCCAAATTAATATTCTAAAATAGTTTTACATTGTTATTCGTGGAAATGTTTATTACAAGTCACGTGCTTAAACCAAACAAATATGTTGCTCGGGTTAATCTGAAATCCACATGTTCGCCTCTACAGTACAATACATTAATTGCATATCTTTACAATAGTGGGTGGAGTTTGATTGATGTTGATTGGTATGGCTCTGCTGCTGTCCACTTAGTGGGCTGAGTCTTCTGCGCAGGAGCACGAAAGTGTTATCACTGCGCACGCGCATTGATCGGTAATTTAGACCTACTATGTTCGTGCTTTTTGGCATGGACATCCACGGAAAATGGTTATATTTTTGGAGGATCCGCGATTTTTAATTTTCCGCGGATGTCCTCCCTATCATTAGCGCGGATAATCGAGCGTCTACTGTATTTGTTTCGCTTAATATTGCTTCATCTGCCATTGACCCCACCGAGTCTGGTGGTTCCCCCATCTTTGTGAATGCTGCAGTGGTTTCCCAATACGACTGTCTTATTCCTGTATATATTTCTAGTGTCATTACCATATTTATAATTATCCATTGTTTTATTTTTCTGGCTGTAGGAAGGGGATCACATTGGCTTAATTAGGAAAATGAATGGCGAGCTTCACTTTTATGTTAACGGCTTGGATCAAGGTATGTATTGCCCTCGTACGTGTCCATTAATCTGTCCCGATCATATTTTGTGAACAATTTGCATATATGTGATCGGAGGCTAATGGGTATTTAATTCCTAAAATAAGTTTTTTCTTCTATTTAAAATTGACGAAAGGTTGAGGCATCGTTCCACAATGAAGGTTTTTACTTTCTGTGTAAACATATGGTAAGTAGGCCCGTTAATTTTGTCCAAAAGCTGGTCCCACCATTGCGGTGATGTTCACAGTAATTCCAGCTGGTCTGGGATATTTTCCTTTTTCACACTGAATGGCCATGGTTACTTCTTCAAGTGTGACCTCTGGAACATTCTCTTCATCTGGAAATTCCCTGTGATATGTTAATCTTTAGCAATGGAGATGTGTATAAAAATAATTCTTGTTATGTACTAAGAATTGCCAATCTTCAACCTTTCCTGCTGCTGTCATGCTCCCATCGCTTATGACATCTTCAACGATATATTTTTTGTGTTTTTTTAATTTCTATTCTCGTTCTATTCCTGATGGTTTACAAACTTCAGTGTATGTTATATTTTGTCTGTAATTATTTTCTAGTGATCGTTAAAATCAGCATACCTCGGGCAAAAAAACATTCTGATCATACATATTACTTGGCATGATTTTAATCAGAAACGGAGGCACTGACCTTGTGGAGATGTGTCTCTGGTGTTGTGTAGGTGTCATGTGTTGGCTTGTTTCCTTCCACTACCTGTGTACACAGGTGTAGCGGCATCCCAGACCGCGGCCACAATCTACGGGGTGGTGGATCTCTATGGAATGGCTGCCAAAGTCACTATTGTCCACGAACAAAATCATGCCGACCGTCTGAGGAGAAACACGGCCATCATGCGTGCGATTTCTCCCGAGTCCACCAATCGCAGGGCTAGGGCAGCCGCTGGCGGTGCGGGCCACAGCAGCGGCCTTGCCACCGGTAGATTGAACTCGCGTTTGGAGGCCGACGCGTGCGGCACGACATGGGCCACGGCCGCCCCCATGCCTCTAATGGCGGGAGAGAACTTTGATGAGAGTGTTGATTTTGGTGGAGATCTTGAGACACGGAGAGGGGCGGAGAGGACCACTCGAGCTGTCAGGGAACGAGAAAGAGTGATGGACGAAGTGGGATGGAGAGACGAAGAGCAGGAGACAGAGAGAGAAACGCCGGAGGTGGCGGAAGGAGAGAAGAGCGCAGAAGATGACATTAATTCCTCGAGAGAGAGGAGGCGCGAGCAGATATCAGCAGGAGATGCGTCGGGTCTGTCCGAGATATACGAAGATACTCAGAGCAGAAGATGCAGGAATGGAGAAGTAGGAGGCGGTAGACAGAGCCTGGGGGATAGGGAAACCAATAGAGACAATTACCTGAGCTCCGATTTAGACTATTTTTCCAGTCTGTCCAGCTATTTGGATTTTGGAATCGCCTATTGCCGAGCTCATGCCACAAGAGAAAACTTGCTCCGCTCTGCACGTAGCAGAGAATTGCAGGTAGATAGAGAATTAAATCGGGAAGAGGAGATGGACACGGGCAGACAGGTGGAGATAGAAAGTGACACAGGGAGGCTGTTGCCAGAACTGAATGTGCCTACAAATTATTCCGACGCAAGGCATCTCATTGCTCACACGAACGTGCGGTTAGCCGCGTCGTGGAGAGAGAGGGGGGGAAATGGAGATGAAGAGTTAGAGAATGGAAGGGAGAGAGATGGCATCGGATTGGGGTTGAGCCATTCAAGTTTCTTTACAAATGCCAGATTGTCAACATGGAGAGAAAGAGAGACGGAGAGGGAGAGAACCACAGGGACAGCAGAGACTAGAAGCCTATGCACTCCAGAACCAAATCAGCTCTCACTTCCTTCTGCCGAAGCGATTTTTGCCAATAGTGAATTATCTGGTTTGGACAATGGATCTGACGTTGAACTTAATGGACAGAGTTGTAATGCCACGGCATTGGCCGGCGGTCCAAGTGTGGGTGGCTGCGGCTCCGGAGAGATGGAGGCCTCCGTGACGACGGTGATAGAGGGAGGTGAAGGCACTTCTGGAGATTGTGGGCCACTGCTCTTCCACCAAAACTGTGGGCAGCGTGCGGCCGTGGTCAATGGAGGACGCACCGCGTTGCGGCCAAAGTGAGTCTCGTCTTGTGTCTCTCGATTGTCTTGCAATCGGAACCAAGTTCGTGGGTCGTCAAACACGACTGAGAAACCATAATTCGTTGTTTTTAATGATTTACACTTGGTTATAGCAAGAAATCTTCACTGAGCCTCAGGAGTCTTGTACAGGAGGGTCCTGCCAAGTTTCCGCATTAGGGGGCGATGTTGCTGCATGAAATCTCAATGGAGTCATTTGTAGGTTTTTTTTACCATAGGGTTGTTTTGTCAATACCAGTTACATTGGACGTTATTTCAGCTATGAGAAAAAGCTGGAAAATCGAGAGGAAACTCATGCAGATCAGGGGTAGAACATACAAACTCCACGCAGAAAGGTGCCCCAGTTGGGAGTTGAACCGAGGTACTTCTTGCTGTAAGACAGGAGTGTTACCACTGCACCGCCCCTGGCTTAGTCCTGCTGCTTGCTTCTTGTCTCATCCAGCTGCAGAGACTCTACATAATTTGGTCTTAGGCTCAATTAAATAAGAATTTCACATTCCTATAGTGGGGCCAGCCTGTCTGGGATGACCATGGCTGCATCCACACAGCCATGTGAAGATACAAAACCTTGTTCCCACGAAGTAGTGCTTATTTTATTGACCCAGAAGGAAAATGGGCTCACCCGACCTCTAACTATGATTTCAATTCCTTGCCTATAAACATTTGGCAGTTCATACTCTTTGGGTCTTTCGGTATGTGATATAACATCCTTTTTCAGCAGCTCTCTCACTGCCATTTTTTCACCTCAAGACGATTGCTTGTGTTGCGATCGAAACGTCATGATTTTATATTTTTTCTATCTACGTGACTTTACCGAAAGACCCAAAGAGTATGAATTGCTGCAGTCACGAAAGCTTTAAGTCAACATTTGGCAGTTCACCCAGCATTGGTGCAAACATACTTGACTGCTGATAAGACTAAATACCACTACCAGTTCAGAGTTTGCTTGTGTTGAACCAATGCTTCTGGAATTGATGCACTCTCAGAAGGCTGTGTGGCCGATGGGATGTGTAAAAAATAAAATTTTCATGTGGATGGACAGATATGGGAAGGGGGTGAATTTCCTGCTAATTTATTTTGTTAATGTAACACCTGCTTTTCCTCTCTGTGCACTTCAATACATGGCAATATGTTTGTAATTGCTATGTAGTGCAGTGTTTGCAGTTATGATTGTGTATTTGATTTGCATAATTTGTTATATGTTTATCATGCCTTCTGTACCCACAGTGCCTTGGAAGATTTTAACCACGGGGTGGTTCTCTCGAACCGACCCCTCGGGCCGGGAGAACGATTTGAAGTGCGCATCGACCGCATGGTGGACAAGTGGGCGGGCTCCATCGAGGTCGGCGTGACCACTCACTCGCCCGTGCGCATTGCGCTGCCCTCAACCATGACCAACATGCGCTCTGGTACGCGTGTGTGCGCACGCATCCGTTCACTCGCGTGGGCCACCGTGGTCGGCCGGCAGGGTGGCGGCAGCGCGTTGGCAACACTTCTGCCTCACGGCATGGAGGGCCTCAGTTCGATTGCTGAATTGGGCTCCTTTCTGCGTATGTTCAGCATGTTCGTTCACCCCCTGTTCTGCATTGGTTCCTCCAGGTTTTCCCCTATTTTCTCGAAAAACTAAACCAAATATACATTGTAACTGGTATTGGCCAAACGTTACAATGTTTAAAAATGACATGCAAATTACTCATTTGGGATGATCCAAATCAACGTTGCCCCCTCTTAAAAAAACTTTGCAATAACTTCCTGAAAAAAAATCTTGAGACTCAGTGAGGCTTTCCAGTCCAAATGAGCGTAATAAAACTTTTTTTTTTAAAGCGTGTATTTTGTTTAACCAGGTGAAAACTGGAGAGACAGACAGACTCATTTGTAAGCGTCGCCTGGGTCATGAAACTGACAAAACAATTGCAACAAAACAAAGTACAACAATAAAGCTAATAGAATTCAGAGCAAAAACAACCAAAATATAAGTAAGAGCAAAAATAAACAAATAGATATTGGGGCAAAAGCAACTGACTCAGAATCAGAATCTTTATTTGGACTGGAGGAATCTGATAAGCTATGAAGCTCTTTTTCATAGATGTCCAGTAACTGCATTACAGAGGAAATAAAAAACAGTGCACCATCACAATTCACTATCAAATAAATACATATCCAGTTATATAAATACATCTATATATATAAAAGGGAAATTTGTGAATGTGTGTCTGTTAAAAATGTTTAGCGTACTTCCCAACATGCAATAACTTGTAATTTGTCATGTTCACCATGCAAAAATTATAAAAATAGACTTTTGTATTATTTTTTGGGGCGGGGGCGCAATAATGCATATATTTTGCATGGCAAGTGAGCTGTGACGTCACATCTGTCATTTGACCCGTATGCAGAACCTTAACGCAGTTTGCCTGTTTATGTCACGCATCCCCCCCCAACCCTCCTTGGGTAAAGTGAAATACAAATGTGTTGCAGGTCTAAGGCTTTCTTCGCACAGCATTGGTTTATTATTTTAGTCGTTTAATGCCGTACGCACCCTGAAAGTTGTATGTGTCTGCAGCAAGCGCGTGTATGTATACCTATGGACGTACGCGCGTGTGTGTGGGGAGAGCGGTAGTGTAGTGGTTAGCGCGCTGCGCTACGAACTCGGCAACCCGAGTTCGATTCCCGCTCACGGCCACCACCGGTGACGATTATTTGAACCGGTCCTGGGCCTCCCCTAGGTCGACTCAGCCTCGAACGAGTAACTGGTGTGGTGTGTGAACATCACCACTGGGGAAACAAAGGTGGCCGGGCGTGGTGAATCCAAGTCCCGAGCGAAACCGGGTAGGAAAGCTAGTACATCTATACAGTGAGGGAAAAAAGTATTTGATCCCCTGCTGATTTTGTACGTTTGCCCACTGACAAAGAAATGATCAGTCTATAATTTTAATGGTAGGTTTATTTGAACAGTGAGAGACAGAATAACAACAACAAAATCCAGAAAAACGCATGTCAAAAATGTTATGAATTGATTTGCATTTTAATGAGGGAAATAAGTATTTGACCCCTCTGCAAAACATGACTTAGTACTTGGTGGCAAAACCCTTGTTGGCAATCACAGAGGTCAGACGTTTCTTGTAGTGGGCCACCAGGTTTGCACAGGAGGGATTTTGTCCCACTCCTCTTTGCACATCTTCTCCAAGTCATTAAGGTTTCGAGGCTGACGTTTGGCAACTCAAACCTTCAGCTCCCTCCACAGATTTTCTATGGGATTAAGGTCTGGAGACTGGCTAGGCCACTCCAGAACCTTAATGTGCTTCTTCTTGAGCCACTCCTTTGTTGCCTTGGCCGTGTGTTTTGGGTAATTGTCATGTTGGAATACCCATCCACGACCCATTTTCAATGCCCTGGCTGAGGGAAGGAGGTTCTCACCCAAGATTTGACGGTACATGGCCCCGTCCATCGTCCCTTTGATGCGGTGAAGTTGTTCTGTCCCCTTAGCAGAAAAACACCCCCAAAGCATAATGTTTCCACCTCCATGTTTGACGGTGGGGATGGTGTTCTTGGGGTCATAGGCAGCATTCCTCCTCCTCCAAACACGGCGAGTTGAGTTGATGCCAAAGAGCTCCATTTTGGTCTCATCTGACCACGACACTTTCACCCAGTTGTCCTCTGAATCATTCAGATGTTCATTGGCAAACTTAAGACGGGCATGTATATGTGCTTTCTTGAGCAGGGGGACCTTGCGGGTGCTGCATGATTTCAGTCCTCTACGGTGTAGTGTGTTACCAATTATTTTCTTGGTGACTATGGTCCCAGCTGCCTTGAGATCATTGACAAGATCCTCCCGTGTAGTTCTGGGCTGATTCCTCACTGTTCTCATGATCATTGCAACTCCACGAGGTGAGATCTTGCATGGAGCCCCAGGCCTAGGGAGATTGACAGTTCTTTTGTTTCTTCCATTTGCGAATAATCGCACCAACTGTTGTCACCTTCTCACCAAGCTGCTTGGCAATGGTCTTGTAGCCCATTCCAGCCTTGTGTAGGTCTACAATCTTGTCCCTGACATCCTTGGAGAGCTCTTTGGTCTTGGCCATGGTGGAGAGTTTGGAATCTGATTGATTGCTTCTGTGGACAGGTGCCTTTTATGCAGGTAACAAGCTGAGATTAGGTGCACTCCCTTTAAGGGTGTGCTCCTAATCTCAGCTCATTACCTGTACAAAAGACACCTGGGAGCCAGAAATCTTTCTGATTGAGAGGGGGTCAAATATTTATTTCCCTCATTAAAATGCAAATCAATTTACAACATTTTTGACATGCGTTTTTCTGGATTTTTTGTTGTTATTCTGTCTCTCACTGTTCAAATAAACCTACCATTAAAATTATAGACTGATCATTTCTTTGTCAGTGGGCAAACGTACAAAATCAGCAAGGGATCAAATACTTTTTCCCCTCACTGTATATATATAAAAGGGAAATTTGTAGATATGTGTGTTTGTTCAAAATGTTTAGCATACTTCCCAACATGCTACAAATTTGAAATTTGGCATGTGGGTAGCCTCCAGACTGTACACCATGCAAAATATCAAAATAGGCTTTTGTATTTTGTGGCGGGGGGGGGGAATCACCATGAAGTGTGTGGCATCAACCCGCATACAAGACTGGCAAGAATCGATATCTGGTGAGCGTTTGTGGTATCGATTAGACGGGAATAGGCCAATTATAAATAAATCTACAACCTTGGATTCCTTTCCTCGATTTAAAGAATCGAATCTTGGCGCGTGAGCGTAAGTTTTTTTTCCACCGCGCATTGGGTTTAATTTTAATTAAAAATATATAATTACATGATTTATAAAGATTAGGGTTATTGTGTGCAAACTTTACATGTAGCACGTTAAATGTTTTCACCGTACAATGCCAATGGGTCTTTTATGTAAAAAAATATTTAGGTAAATTATTACTGCGAGTACTTTCAATTCTTACCTATAAAAGTCATTTTTGTCTGTTTGTGTTTCCGTCTGTCTGTCTGTATACGCAACTTGCGACGCTTTTAACTCACAAACTGCGGTTTACATTTCTAACTTTAAAGTAGTTAAATTGACAATTTAGTACTATTAATTATTAATTTACTACACTAAGCGCGTGCCAAAGCACGCATCTTCGCATGCATGAAATGTCGTGGTTCCCATAGCAACGCACACGCGCGATTGGTGAGGGCGGGGAAAAAATGTAATTCGCTTTAATGCAAAAAAACAGACACAACGCTGAGGTAATTGTTCAAAGTGTCATGTCCTCTTCTCCCCCTCCCACCCCAATGTGTGTAGTTACTATAGGAAGTATATATTGCTGCAGAGTCGGTAGATACGACTATAGAGTCAGTAGATACTGCTATAGAGTTTGCAGATACTACTATGGAGTTAGTAGTTACTACTATAGTCAGTAGATACTATTGAGTCAATATATACTGCTATAGGTTCAGTAGGTACTACTATCGTCATTAGATACGACTGTAGTGACTGGGAATGTCACTGTGTGGTGCCGGGCTGGTGAGGCCACGGTGGGATGTATCCTGTTTTGTGTACACCCCGGAGACGGGGTGTAGTACCAGCCCTAGTGGGGGCTTGGGTGAGCGCTGGTTAAGCGCAATGGCCACGCACAGCGTGCAGTGCGGGCCGTTGAGAGAGCGAGAGAGTGTCAGCCAGCTGGGGTTACGTTGGGGGCATGATACTCTGGCTGACCTGGGGACATGTGACTGGATGATACTGGAGGGGGGCCACCGGTGGAGGGGGCTAATGGGTGGTCACGTGGTCCGGGAAGAACTCTCGAGAGCCTTCGGGTAAGGGCGAGAGAGATCGAGAAGGTGAGCGGGGCAAGAGGCGGAGCCAGCCCCAGACCGGCCTGATATCAGGGGGGCTCTGTGAGGGGCTCGGGGTTCTTACTGTTGGAGAGGCAGGAGATCCACATCAAGCTGAAGAAGCCTCCAGCCACGCGGTCCGGGACCCAGCTTGTGGTCCGGACCGGGATAGTGGAACCGTGTCTAGTTCCGCCGTAGCGTGGCTAGTTGGGTGGTCACCACCCGAGAGTATGTTGTGCGAATAGTTGAATAAAACGTGTTGCTCCCAAGACAACGTCTGCAACTCAGTTGGACTCACTACACTACTGCAGAGTCAGTAGTTATTACTGTAGAGCCAGATACTACTGTAGAGTCAGATACTACTATAGAGTCACTAGATACTACTCTATTGTATGTAGGGTGTTTAGGTATATATGCCTACGCGGGGGTAAAAATCTTTTTTGAGGGTGGCAGAGGGGTCGACAGTTTTCGGAAACCTTTTAGATCAACTATTTACCCCCCACTTTCTATAACTTTTTTGACTTCTAATTTTGTTGATGGACAAATGGACAGACAAACTACACGCCGGGCTTTCACAATAGCTTAGTATTTGTGTATGTATATGTTATGTTTTTAAGTTTTGAGAAGTTTTTAAATATATTTTTCCCCCGGGCAACGCCGGGTACTTCGCTCTAGTCCAGTTATAAAGGTTGGCCCGGACAAATTTCTTTTAAAAACCAAAGTCAAGTTCAGTTGCAGGAAATGTAAATATATTTATGGTGATTATTACACGAATATGTAAACACAAGAATATTTAAAAAATTCAACTGCAAGGGAAATTATATACAGAATTGACAGCTTAGCATAAAATTGTGAATTAGATGGGAGAGTATCTGTGGGTTTGTTGGAACATTTTCTCCACTCGTTTTTGAGACTCAACGTGTGTGCCTTCCTATACACTGTAATGGGCTGTACATAAGTAAGATATGTTAATTTACTTCTGGTTTAATCAGCCCCTTGCGTTCAATGGAAAATGGGTTTATGTATTGCTTGTTGTACAGGCACGTGGATGATGACTGGGAATGGAGTGATGCACAACGGAACCACCATTCTGGACGACTATGGGCATAACCTGGATCGCCTGCGGGTTTGAATGCACATTCACAAGTCATGTATTAATTAATGACTGCATATGCATGAGCACTGGCACACACACAGAAACACAATTACAATAACAGCCACCATTCACCACAAAGTGGCAATGATGCCACCACAGCGCTTGTGTCAGGTTAAGTGCACTTTTAGGCCACTTAAAGTGTTGAAAGCTCGCTGACAGATGGTCACAGGACAGACCCAGATATTATGGGTTAACTGCCGGAGATGACTGACAGATGCACCACCTGTGCTCCGCATTGTGACCAGTTGCTACGTTTTAGCCACCCGGCGCTCCGCTCGTGAGCATTGCTTCTCTGCCTTTCACTGTTGTTGCACCTCCTCTGCCCTCCAACTGTCCTCCACGAGACTGTTTCACAGAGGCTGATAATGACACTACTGATACCAGTCATCAACAGTCCTCAGGTCGACATCCTATGTACCCCATTAGCACATCTCTTCTCTAGCCCATGCCATGTTTGTTTATATTTTTCTATCCAACCAAATAGAAGCTGCGTGGGTATACGGTGGCTGGACATGGGGGTGACATGACCCAGCCAACGCAGCCTCACCTTCTGGAGGAGCTCACTGATGGCTTTGTGTCCAATCTTTGAAAGATTTGTGAGCTCATACGAACCTGTACGGTTAAACCCGGGATTAATTGTAGGCAGGCCAGCCTGAATGTTTAGAACCGGTGCCGATGTTCCTTTTAAAGGGGTTCACGTTTTGCAAGAAGACCCAAACCTTTGTATGGAGCGACAGGCCATCTAGCTTCCACACAGTGTTACGCAGGCGATGAAAATATAATGCCGCTCGACTGATTTGGAGTGAGACCTCTGCTTCTTTGTATGGCTGGGGAAGCAGTTTGATGTCGAGGTTAGCAATCTGTTCAACGGCTTCAGGTGAGACAGAGTGAGTGGTCGCGATGCCACCGGGAATGGATCTCTCAGGGCAGGAGTTCAGTACATGGGGCGATTGTCTGGCTTGGGTAGTGGCCACAGTCACAATTTGGGATGCTCCTCATGTTCTACTCCTGGAGCAAGTGGCCACATCTTCCCTGGCCCTTGTCCTCAAGCGGTTGGGAGTTGTCTAAGTTTCCATGGAAGGTTGAACTCTGGGACTTCACTGTGCATGCTGATGTGTGTGGTTTGTCGGTGTGCGTGCTGATGTGTGCTTGTGTGGTTTGTGAGTGTGCTTGCTGATGTGTGCGTATGTTTGTGAGTGTGCGTGCTGACATGTCTGGTTTGTGAGTGTGCTTGCTAATTGTGTGGTTTGCGAGTGTGCGTGCCGATGTGTGCCTGTGTGGTTTGTGGGTATGCGTGCTGATGTATGTGTGTGTGTGCCTCTATGCAGGCAGGGGACAGTGTGGGAGTGATCCGCCATGTGGATGGTGCACTGCACCTGCTGGTAAACGGGGAGGACCAGGGCCGCGCGGTCATTGGGGTCCCACCGTGCGTGTACGCCGTGCTCGACCTCTACGGGCAGGCGGCCCAAGCCACCATCCTTGACTCCACACACGGTATTCTGCCCGTGCTTTGTGTTCCGCTTTTAGGACGTCAAGACCAGCGGCGCAGTGGTAACAATTGTGCCTCACAGTAATAAAGGCCTGGGTTTGATTCCCGACTGGGGCTGTGTGGAGTTTATATGTTGTACCCCTGTTCTGCATGACTTTCTTCCAGATTCTCTGGTTTCCTCCCAAAGCTAAAAACACATAAAATATAACTTGTATTGGCCAAACATCCTATCATAGACAAACTACCTGATAATTACTCATTTGGGATTCCATGTAGCAAGCGCCCCCAATTGAAAAAAAACTTGGCATGATCCTAATCAAAGGGTCTTGAGATCAGCAAGGTATTGTGGTTCACTTGTGTACGTAATGAGTGTGACCTGATGTATTCGTTCGGCAACCAGAAGCCAATGCAGCTCAGCAGGCACTGGACGGATATGGTTGGATCTTGCAGTACCTGTGAGGAGGCCACTGGAGCTTTGCACATTTAAATCTAAATTGAAAACATTTCTTTAGAACTGATTTTTGCTATTGCTGCTACTGCTAATGCTGTGGGTTTCACGTGACATCCATGTGCTGTTTGTTCCCTAGACATGCCACCACTGCCCGACGATCTGTCCGACACGCACACCCACCCCACCCCGTGCACCCCTCCGCTGTCCTTGTGCGACTGCGGCAATGGCCCGGCGCGGTGCGACCTGGTCTTCGCTCACTTTCACGGCACCAATGCCGTCATCACCAACGGCGGTCGCACTGCCCTGCGCCAGAACCCGCGTGCCGAGTTCAACGACGCCATCGTCATCACGAACCGGTGTGACACCGCGGAGCTGAGCATCATGCGGCATAGATGTTATGCGTTGTTACGCAACCCACCAGGTGTTTGCCAAGTGACCTGCGGACTGGCAACATGAGAACCATTTGAGCCATTTGGGGCATTCGGTTCTGATGTTGGCCATGCTTTGGATTTTGTGTTCGATTGTAATGCTGTGCTCATGTGCTGTTGGTTGTGTGCTCAGACCGCTCCGGGACGGAGAGTTGTTTGAGATTGTCATTGAGAAGATGGTGGACAGATGGTCTGGCTCCATAGAAGTTGGTATGAGCAAAGGAAATACTTTTATCTGTGCGAACTTTCATGGCGAATAAAACCCTTTCTTATTTACTGATTATCTCACGTTGTGCAGAAGCCTAGTTTTACATTACTTGATTTGTCATGATATGTTGCCCATTGTTCTGTTCATTATTGTTAAAACGTGATTGGTGTTAAAGAGCAACTGTGCGTCTTCCGCATTTCCTGTGCCTGGTTAGCTTGTGCCTGTCTTTTGTGGTGTTGTGTGATGCAGGTGTCACTGCAATTGTTCCCGAGGAGCTCCACTTTCCAAACACAATGACAGATATCGACCATGACACCTGGATGCTGAGGTAAAGGTGTTAGTTTGCAAATACCCACATAAGGGCATAGGTGCACGCTCATAATAATTATCGCTATTGCTTCTACTTATAACTCCACACAATATTCGCTCTTTCTCATGGAGAGAGAGAACGACCCAGAAGGCACGCGGAACCACAGATGAGCAGGAAGGCAGCCACACGATGAGTTGGCGCCAACATTTGCCCAAGCTCCATGTTCCTCTATATAGGAAGGTGTTATCAGCCAATTAATGAGTTTATATGTGGGAGAAAACTACGCAAGCAAGGGGAAACACTCTGTCCCTTAAGGATGTAACAGGTGGAGTCCAATTTGTTATGCCCTCTCTTGGCGTGCCAGGGCATGGCTCGTCCTGGACACCCATGGAAAGGGAGTTTTACAAATTGTGTGCGATCCACCAACCCTCACCTCCACAGTGCTGGATAAGAGGTGTGCACCACTGCCAACACCCAGCTAATGCTGTGACTGGTGCCCCGCTGCTTAACTGCCTTCAAAAAATATTCCCACCAATATTTGACCGGCAGGGTGGTGGCGCAGTGGGAACAGTTGTGCCTCGCAGCAAGAAGGGCCTGAATTCAGTTCCTGACTTGGGTGCCTTCCTGTGTGGGATTTGTTCTCTCTCTGTTCTCCGTGGCTTTCCTCCGAGTTCTCCGGTTTCCTCCCATAGTAAAAAAAACAATGTAACTGGTTTGAAGCTTTCATGGCTGCAGGAATCCTTACTCGAAACGTCCTGATTTGTTTTATTTTATTTCTAACTACGTGATTTTACCGAAAGAACCAAAGAGCAGCAATGTAACTGGTATTGGCCAAACATCACAATCATGAAAAATTACCTCAATTGAGACTACACACAGTAACATACCCCCCCTACTGCAGAAACTTGGTATGACCCTCCTGTATTTAGACTCAGTGAGCCCTTCCTGGGTAAACAAGAGTAAAAGTATTGCCCTGCAGCCCAACTTCACTGCGATTTCACCTCTATGGAAGCATCATAGTACAGTATTCCCTCGTTATTCGAGAACTTGCAACTTTGGCTATCCACGAATCGCATCTGAAACGCGACACAACTGCATCGAGAGAAGAGAGTGAGATACTTGAATATTTATTTATAATATTTATTTATCAATTTTGTTTTGTTATGATGATTTTCATGTATTTCATAGGTTATTTATGCAATTCTTAAAAAAATCTAGGTTTCCGTAGGCCAATATATTTTTCCGCAAAATGTTCTATTCACGAGCATCTCCGGAATGTATCCTTCGAGAAGAACAAGCGACTACTGTAAATTGCTGGTATACAGGTTTGGTATTCTGAAATGCTGGCATGGCATACTGTTGTACACTGGCCCCTTTTAACCGAGGATGTAGAAAAACATTTTATATAATAAAGAGATGTTTTTTTTATAGATCTTCCTTCATGCTGGATAATATCAGAGCGCTTGACACGCAATAAGCTATTTGCATCGCATTTCTTCTCAACACATTTGTGAGGGCACCCCCAGTGGCAGTTGTCCCTTTGGGCACGTTGCATCTGGTCTGCAATCAGGCACTAGTCTGCCAGTAGGGGGCGATGATTTTTGCTATCTGTAATCCCAATTGAGTAATTTGCAGGTAATTATTCGAATTTGGCAACTTGGACCATGACGCTGGCACACAGCGGCTTTATCTTTTTCCGAATGGCGTCAGGAGATCTTAATTGTCCACTGCGAAGCAGACGGCGCATAGTACACTACGGTTAATGCACCCGCGGTATTAGCCAGGGTGGCTGCCGGGCTCGAACCGCGAACCTCTGCAACAAGCAGCAAAAGCGCTACCGCTGGGCCACGTTGCAACATTTGTTGGTGAGACGTGAACAGCGCCAGTAGTGGAGGCAGCGGCGTCAGCAGGTGAAGGATGTGAAAGGCGAGTTTGCGTGTGTGTGTGTGCGTGTAGTGGCACAGCCATCATGCGTGATGGTAACACGGTGTGCAACAGCTACGGGAGCGACCTGGACCGCCTGGGGTTTGGCTCACGGATCGGCATGCTGCGCTCCCGCCACGGCGCGCTGCACTACTTCATCAACGGCGTGGACCAGGGCCCCGCCGCCACGGGCCTCCCCGCCGGTGCGACTCGCCATCCCCACCACACATTTTTGCGTCTCACACTTGCACTGCTGTCGACCCCACCACCAGATGTGTGGTAGGGTTGGCCCCCTCGTGGATATGTGGAATTTCCACAGCCATGTCTGTGTCTCAATCTGTCTTTGTTTGGCTGCCTCTCTTCATGCTTACCTCTCTGCCTTTGTCTCTCTATTGTTATGCAGGTGTTAATAGTTGTGACAGCGCAGCCGTTTGCATTCGTATTCTAAACCTGTCTGTGTGTGAAGAGATGCTTACTTACAGCACTTGCCCCCACCAGTCTGTTAAGACTATATGGGGGATCTGTATCGTTTTATGTGTGTCTGTGTGTGTAGAGGTGTATGCAGTGGTCGACCTCTATGGCCAGTGTGCCCAAGTGAGCGTCACGGCCTCCAGTGGAGTGGTGGACAACAGCTTGTCGAGCAGCGTGGTCACTCACCTCTCGCTGCCTGAGGACTCACCGCGCTGTGAGTGACCAACGCGGTGCTCCCCGGGCCACGACAATGAGAATGACCGCGTTTTATTTGGTTCATAACTTATGTTTGGGTTAGGCCGTGTATTTATCTGACCAAATAGTGAATGGTGAGCGCTGTGTTTGCTGTGTGTAGTGCTTGGGGGTGGTGTTAGTGAATGGTGAGTGCTGTATGTGCTGAACGCAGTGCTGGGGGTGGTGTTAGTGAATGGTGAGTGCTGTGTGTGCTGTGCGCAGTGCTGGGGGTGGTGTTAGTGAATGGTGAGTGCTGTGAGTGTTGTGCGGAGTGCTGGGGGTGGTGTTAGTGAATGGTGAGTGCTGTTTTGTGCTGTGCACAGTGCTGGTGGTGGTGTTAGTGAATGGTGAGTGTTGTGTGTGCTGTGCGCAGTGCTAGTGGTGGTGTTAGTGAATGGTGAGTGCTGTATGTGCTGAGCGCAGTGCTGGGGGTGGTGTTAGTGAATGGTGAGTGCTGTATGTGTAGAGCGCAGTGCTGGTGGTGGTGTTAGGGAATGGTGAGTGCTGTATGTGCTGAGCGCAGTGCTGGGGGTGGTGTTAGTGAATGGTGAGTGCTGTATGTGCTGAGCGCAGTGCTGGGGGTGGTGTTAGTGAATGGTGAGTGCTGTATGTGCTGAGCGCAGTGCTGGGAGTGGTGTTAGTGAATGGTGAGTGCTGTATGTGCTGAGCGCAGTGCTGGGGGTGGTGTTAGTGAATGGTGAGTGCTGTGAGTGTTGTGCGCAGTGCTGGGGGTGGTGTTAGTGAATGGTGAGTGCTGTATGTGCTGAGCACAGTGCTGGGGGTGGTGTTAGTGAATGGTGGGTGCTGTGTGTGTTGTGCGCAGTGCTGGGGGTGGTGTTAGTGAATGGTGAGTGCTGTATGTGCTGAGCGCAGTGCTGGGGGTGGTGTTAGTGAATGGTGAGTGCTGTATGTGCTGAGCACAGTGCTGGGGGTGGTGTTAGTGAATGGGGAGTGCTGTGCGCAGTGCTTGGGGGTGGTGTTAGTGAATGGGGAGTGCTGTGCGCAGTGCTGGGAGTGGTGTTAGTGAATGGTGAGTGCTGTTTTGTGCTGTGCGCAGTGCTGGTGGTGGTGTTAGTGAATGATGAGTGCTGTGTGTGCTGTGCGCAGTGCTGGGGGTGGTGTTAGTGAATCGTGAGTGCTGTGAGTGTTGTGCGGAGTGCTGGGGGTGGTGTTAGTGAATGGTGAGTGCTGTGTGTGCTGTGCGCAGTGCTGGGAGTGGTGTTAGTGAATGGTGAGTGTTGTGTGTGCTGTGCGCAGTGCTGGGAGTGGTGTTAGTGAATGGTGAGTGCTGTATGTGCTGAGCGCAGTGCTGGGGGTGGTGTTAGTGAATGGTGAGTGCTGTATGTGCAGAGCGCAGTGCTGGTGGTGGTGTTAGGGAATGGTGAGTGCTGTATGTGCTGAGCGCAGTGCTGGGGGTGGTGTTAGTGAATGGTGAGTGCTGTATGTGCTGAGCGCAGTGCTGGGGGTGGTGTTAGTGAATGGTGAGTGCTGTATGTGCTGAGCACAGTGCTGGGAGTGGTGTTAGTGAATGGTGAGTGCTGTATGTGCTGAGCGCAGTGTTGGGGGTGGTGTTAGTGAATGGTGAGTGCTGTGAGTGTTGTGCGCAGTGCTGGGGGTGGTGTTAGTGAATGGTGAGTGCTGTATGTGCTGAGCACAGTGCTGGGGGTGGTGTTAGTGAATGGTGAGTGCTGTGTGTGTTGTGCGCAGTGCTGGGGGTGGTGTTAGTGAATGGTGAGTGCTGTATGTGCTGAGCGCAGTGCTGGGGGTGGTGTTAGTGAATGGTGAGTGCTGTATGTGCTGAGCGCAGTGCTGGGGGTGGTGTTAGTGAATGGGGAGTGCTGTGCGCAGTGCTTGGGGGTGGTGTTAGTGAATGGGGAGTGCTGTGCGCAGTGCTGGGAGTGGTGTTAGTGAATGGTGAGTGCTGTTTTGTGCTGTGCGCAGTGCTGGTGGTGGTGTTAGTGAATGATGAGTGCTGTGTGTGCTGTGCGCAGTGCTGGGAGTGGTGTTAGTGAATGGTGAGTGCTGTTTTGTGCTGTGCGCAGTGCTGGTGGTGGTGTTAGTGAATGATGAGTGCTGTGTGTGCTGTGCGCAGTGCTGGGGGTGGTGTTAGTGAATCGTGAGTGCTGTGAGTGTTGTGCGGAGTGCTGGGGGTGGTGTTAGTGAATGGTGAGTGCTGTTTTGTGCTGTGCACAGTGCTGGTGGTGGTGGTGTTAGTTAATGGTGAGTGTTGTGTGTGCTGTGCGCAGTGCTGGGAGTGGTGTTAGTGAATGGTGAGTGCTGTATGTGCTGAGCGCAGTGCTGGGGGTGGTGTTAGTGAATGGTGAGTGCTGTATGTGCAGAGCGCAGTGCTGGTGGTGGTGTTAGGGAATGGTGAGTGCTGTATGTGCTGAGCGCAGTGCTGGGGGTGGTGTTAGTGAATGGTGAGTACTGTATGTGCTGAGCGTAGTGCTGGGAGTGGTGTTAGTGAATGGTGAGTGCTGTATGTGCTGAGCGCAGTGCTGGGGGTGGTGTTAGTGAATGGTGAGTGCTGTATGTGCTGAGCGCAGTGCTGGGGGTGGTGTTAGTGAATGGTGAGTGCTGTATGTGCTGAGCGCAGTGCTGGGGGTGGTGTTAGTGAATGGTGAGTGCTGTGTGTGCTGTGCGCAGTGCTGGGGGTGGTGTTAGTGAATGGTGAGTGCTGTATGTGCTGAGCGCAGTGCTGGGGGTGGTGTTAGTGAATGGTGAGTGCTGTATGTGCTGAGCGCAGTGCTGGGGGTGGTGTTAGTGAATGGGGAGTGCTGTGCGCAGTGCTTGGGGGTGGTGTTAGTGAATGGGGAGTCCTGTTTTGTGCTGTGCGCAGTGCTGGGAGTGGTGTTAGTGAAGGATGAGTGCTGTGTGTGCTGTGCGCAGTGCTGGGGGTGGTGTTAGTGAATGGTGAGTGCTGTGAGTGTTGTGCGGAGTGCTGGGGGTGGTGTTAGTGAATGGTGAGTGCTGTTTGGTGATGTGCACAGTGCTGGTGGTTGTGTTAGTGAATGGTGAGTGCTGTGTGTGCTGAGCGCAGTGCTGGGGGTGGTGTTAGTGAATGGTGAGTGCTGTATGTCCAGAGCGCAGTGCTGGTGGTGGTATTAGGGAATGGTGAGTGCTGTATGTGCTGAGCGCAGTGCTGGGGGTGGTGTTAGTGAATGGTGAGTGCTGTGTGTGCTGAGCGCATTGCTGGGAGTGGTGTTAGTGAATGGTGAGTGCTGTGAGTGTTGTGCGGAGTGCTGGGGGTGGTGTTAGTGAATGGTGAGTGCTGTTTTGTGCTGTGCACAGTGCTGGTGGTGGTGTTAGTGAATGGTGAGTGTTGTGTGTGCTGTGCGCAGTGCTAGTGGTGGTGTTAGTGAATGGTGAGTGCTGTATGTGCTGAGCGCAGTGCTGGGGGTGGTGTTAGTGAATGGTGAGTGCTGTATGTGTAGAGCGCAGTGCTGGTGGTGGTGTTAGGGAATGGTGAGTGCTGTATGTGCTGAGCGCAGTGCTGGGGGTGGTGTTAGTGAATGGTGAGTGCTGTATGTGCTGAGCGCAGTGCTGGGGGTGGTGTTAGTGAATGGTGAGTGCTGTATGTGCTGAGCACAGTGCTGGGAGTGGTGTTAGTGAATGGTGAGTGCTGTGTGTGCTGAGCGCAGTGCTGGGGGTGGTGTTAGTGAATGGTGAGTGCTGTGAGTGTTGTGCGCAGTGCTGGGGGTGGTGTTAGTGAATGGTGAGTGCTGTATGTGCTGAGCACAGTGCTGGGGGTGGTGTTAGTGAATGGTGGGTGCTGTGTGTGTTGTGCGCAGTGCTGGGGGTGGTGTTAGTGAATGGTGAGTGCTGTATGTGCTGAGCGCAGTGCTGGGGGTGGTGTTAGTGAATGGTGAGTGCTGTATGTGCTGAGCACAGTGCTGGGGGTGGTGTTAGTGAATGGGGAGTGCTGTGCGCAGTGCTTGGGGGTGGTGTTAGTGAATGGGGAGTGCTGTGCGCAGTGCTGGGAGTGGTGTTAGTGAATGGTGAGTGCTGTTTTGTGCTGTGCGCAGTGCTGGTGGTGGTGTTAGTGAATGATGAGTGCTGTGTGTGCTGTGCGCAGTGCTGGGGGTGGTGTTAGTGAATGGTGAGTGTTGTGTGTGCTGTGCGCAGTGCTGGGAGTGGTGTTAGTGAATGGTGAGTGCTGTATGTGCTGAGCGCAGTGCTGGGGGTGGTGTTAGTGAATGGTGAGTGCTGTATGTGCAGAGCGCAGTGCTGGTGGTGGTGTTAGGGAATGGTGAGTGCTGTATGTGCTGAGCGCAGTGCTGGGGGTGGTGTTAGTGAATGGTGAGTGCTGTATGTGCTGAGCGCAGTGCTGGGGGTGGTGTTAGTGAATGGTGAGTACTGTATGTGCTGAGCGTAGTGCTGGGAGTGGTGTTAGTGAATGGTGAGTGCTGTATGTGCTGAGCGCAGTGCTGGGGGTGGTGTTAGTGAATGGTGAGTGCTGTATGTGCTGAGCGCAGTGCTGGGAGTGATGTTAGTGAATGGTGAGTGCTGTATGTGCTGAGCGCAGTGCTGGGGGTGGTGTTAGTGAATGGTGAGTGCTGTGTGTGCTGTGCGCAGTGCTGGGGGTGGTGTTAGTGAATGGTGAGTGCTGTATGTGCTGAGCGCAGTGCTGGGGGTGGTGTTAGTGAATGGTGAGTGCTGTATGTGCTGAGCGCAGTGCTGGGGGTGGTGTTAGTGAATGGGGAGTGCTGTGCGCAGTGCTTGGGGGTGGTGTTAGTGAATGGGGAGTCCTGTTTTGTGCTGTGCGCAGTGCTGGGAGTGGTGTTAGTGAAGGATGAGTGCTGTGTGTGCTGTGCGCAGTGCTGGGGGTGGTGTTAGTGAATGGTGAGTGCTGTGAGTGTTGTGCGGAGTGCTGGGGGTGGTGTTAGTGAATGGTGAGTGCTGTTTGGTGATGTGCACAGTGCTGGTGGTTGTGTTAGTGAATGGTGAGTGCTGTGTGTGCTGAGCGCAGTGCTGGGGGTG